ACACAACACATGAATGCATTAGACCTTTGTAAAAAAAAAAAAGTAAAGCTTTAATAAATATATAATAATTGGACACTCACATAATAAGGAATTTTGATCCCCATTTCACACCCTATAGACACATACACAATGGATTGTAAATCTAAATGTGAAAAGCAAAACAATAAAGCTTCTAAAAAAAGACAGCAGAATTGCTTCGTAACCTTGAGGTAGGTAAGTACTTCTTAAATAGCACATAAAAAATGCTATCCATAAAGAAAAGATACATGGACCAAATTAAAATTAAGAACCTCTGTTCATCAGAAGCCACCAGTAAGAGAATGAGAAACAAGGCAATGACCAGAAGATATTTGCAATACATATATTAATAAAGGATTCATTTCCAGACTATACAAAGAAGTCCTACAGATGAATGAGACAAGATAATCCAACAACAAAAAAATGGGCAAAAGATTTAAATAGGTACTTAATGAAAGAAGATATCAAAATGGTGAATAAACTTACAAAAGGTGCTCAACTTCATTAAGACCAGCGACAAACAAACTAAAACCAGTGACATCACTACACACCCATCAAAATGGCTAAAATGCAAAAGAGGAAAAAAGCAAGTGCTGAAAAGGATGTGAAACAACTGGAACTTTTATATATGCTACTAGTGGGATTATAAATTGGTACAACCATTTTGGAAAACTGTTTGGCAGTACCTACTAAAGCTGACTATAAGCAAACTAAAACTGGTTTTAGGAAATCTTACAATTGAACACTTCTAATCATATACCCAACAGAAATGCATACATTTGTTCACCAAAGATATTTATAAGAATGTTCATAGCAGCACTATTCTTAGTAGCCCCAAATTGGAAACAACCCAAATATCCAACAGCAGTAGGAATGATAATTTGTGGTATATTCATGTAATGCAATACTACACAGTAATGAGAATAAACAAACTCAACTATATACAACAGAATGGATGAATCTCACAAAGACAGTGTTGACCAAATGAAGCCAGACTTAAATATACACTGAATGATTTCAATTTTATAAAGTTCAAAAATAAGCTAAATAGAAATCAGGACAGTGGTTACTGTAGAATGGGAAGAGGAATGGATAGTGACTGGAAATGTAGGCAGGTGTTCCTTCTAAGGTTCTGGTTTTGTTTTTTGATTTGGGTGGTTCTTAAAAAGGTGGGTTTACTTTGTGAAAATTAGTTATGGCATACAATTGCGATTTGTACACTTATGTGTATTATATCAAATAAAGGTGTAGATGAGAAAGAGAAAGGCAAATATACTGGATTACAGATCTCAGAAAAAGTAAAAATACTACAACAGCTAAAACTTTTTAGCTTAAAAAAAAAAATTAAAAGGGACACAAATGAAGACCTAAAAATTGGTGATATGTTTATGGATGGCATAAATTAACATTGAGATAACTATCCTCTCTGGGGTTGCCTGGGTGGCTTAGTTGGTTGAGAGTCTGACTCTTGATCTCAACTCAGGTCTTGATATCAGGATCGTGAGTTTAAACCTCGTGCTGGGCTCCACACGGCATAGAGCCTACTTATATAAAAAAAAAAAGATAACTATCCTCTGTAATATATAAATTCAATGTAATCTCATCACAATTTTTTGAGGAGTTCAGCTAATGTATTCTAATATGCACACTAAGCAACAAAGGCACATATATAGCTAAGACAATTTTGAACAACAAAAGCAGAGGGGAGTCCTTAACCAAATATACTACAAACAGTAATAAAAAAAAAGTGTGTTTCTGGAGCAGGAGCAGACAGACAAATGGGATACTACAGAAATTGACCCAGGGGCGCCTGGGTGGCTCAGTCATTAAGAGTCTGCCTTCGGCTCAGGTATGAGCCTGGGGTCCTGGGATCGAGCCCCGCAGCAGGCTCCCTGCTCGGTGGGAAGCCTGCTTCTCCCTCTCCCACTCCCCCTACTTGTGTTCCTTCTCTTGCTTTGTCTCTATCAAATAAATAAATAAAATCTTAAAAGAAAAAAAGAAAAAAGAAATTGACCCAGTTATATTTTATATGTGAAGTCGGGAAAGAATGAATTATTTAATAAGTAATTGTTTGGAAGACAGGCTCTATAATTGTAAGAACATTAAAAAATAAAAATAGTAAGAATAAGATTTTTATTTATAAACTCAAATAAAAAGGTGAACTCCACATAGTCAAAAAAACCTAAAAATAAATTGTAAGGCAAATAAAAGAAAGTGTAGAAAAAGGTCTTAATGAACTTCTAGTAGAAATGGATGTCTAAAACAAGATTCAAAATGCATAAACCATAAGGTGAAAAATTGATGGACTAAAAGAATTTTGTTCAACAAAGTATAGCATAAACAAAGTTTGTGGATTACAGATTTGGGAGAAGATATTTGCAATGTCAAAAACAGAAAAGGGACTAATAACTGCAATATAAAAGGAACTCCTGCAAAACAAAAAAGGCAGGAAATCCAATGATAAATTGGGTAAAGATTATAAATAAACAATTGACAAAAGTAGAAACTCAATTAGCTAACAAGTATATGAAGAAATGCTCAACTTCAATTGGTAAATAGAAAAATATAAATTTAAACAAACCAAAAACAAGAAATACCAAATCACAGACCTGTACCCCTGAAACAAATAATGTATTTTATGTTAAAAAAAAAAACAAACAATACAGGAACCAACTTGAAGGGAAGGCATTGCAAAATTCAGGCCAAATTGAGCATTGAAATTAATAATAGTAATAATGGATTGTAACCCAATGACTAAGATAAGTTGTGAGTTCATTAAATAAATCAATGGATAAAAAAACCAAACATGAAATACCACTTTATAGCCATCACATTGAAAATATTTTTAAACATTAGAAAATAGCAATTGCTGGTGAGGATATGAGGGCAACAGGAATTCTTGTGTACTTCAGGAGTAGGGTAACTGTTACAGCCATTCTGGGAAATGATTTGGCAGTATTTAGTGAAACTAAGTATGTGTATGCCTTATGACCTAACAGTCCACTCCTAAAAACATTTCTCAGAGAAACCCCTGCATCGGTCCAAAAGAGGATGAATGAGGATATTTATCATATAAACAGTAAAAAAAAAAAAAAAAAAAAAAAGTAACAAATGAGTGCATCACTAGTAGATTGGTCTGTAAACATGATAGGTCCATACCATGGATTACAATTAAAAGCAATCAATTACACATAAATACAACTACATGGGAAGATCTATAAAATCATCACTGAAGGAAAATTAAGAAAAAGAATGAGATCTACACTGTATGTTGACTATACTGGAATTAAAATTAAAAAAATAAAAAACAAGAATAAGGGCGCCTGGGTGGCTCAGTTGGTTAAGCGACTGCCTTCGGCTCAGGTCATGATCCTGGAGTCCTGGGATCGAGTCCCACGTCGGGCTCCCTGCTCAGCAGGGAGTCTGCTTCTCTCTCTGACCCTCCCCCCTCTCATGCTCTCTATCTCATTCTCTCTCTCAAATAAATAAATAAAATCTTAAAAAAAAAACAAAAACAAAAAAACAAGAATAAGATCTATAACACAGTACTGTCTTTTTAATTAAAAAGCACAAATTTTAAAAGCACATACACAAAGCAACACTGTACAATTTGTAAAGACATACACATTTAAAAAGATACACCAAACACATCAGTGGGTGCCAGAAGCTGGGTTGGGTAGGGAGGGAGTGGGGGGAAATCACTATGAAGGGGAAAGGAAAATAAATAAAATGAGAGAGGCATTGCACAGTCCACTGATATTTTACTATACATTTTTATTTTTTTAAAGATTTTATTTATTTATTTGACAGAAACACAGTGAAAGAGGAAACACAAGTAGGGGGAGTGGGAGAGGGGGAAGCAGGCTTCCCGCAGAGCAGGGAGCCCGATGAGGGGCTCGATCCCAGGACCCTGGGATCATGACCTGAGCCGAAGGCAGACGCTTAACGACTGAGCCGGCCAGGCACCCCTACTGTATATTTTTAAAAAACATTTTTTATTTGAGAGAGAGAGAGAGAGAACACACAAGCGGGGGTGGGAGGAAAGAACGGGCAGAGGGAGAGGAAAAGGCAAGCTTCCCACTGAGCAGGGAGCCCTGCATGGGGCTTGATCCTAGGACTCCGGGATTATAACCTGAGCTGAAGGCAGACACTTAACTGACTGAGCCACCCAGGCGCCCCAATATTTAACTATAAATTGATCAGAAATTCTGAGTGACAACTCCCTATACTTGAGGTCCCCCTTAAAAAAACTTAAATGATGGGGGCGCCTGGGTGGCTCAGTGGTTAGGCGTCTGCCTTCGGCTCAGGTCATGATCCCAGGGTCCTGGGATTGAGCCCCGCATCGGGCTCCCTGCTCTGCGGGAAGCCTGCTTCTCCCTCTCCTGCTCCCCTTGCTTGTGCGCTCTCTCTTTCTGTCAAATAAATAAATAAAATCTTAAAAAAAAAACAACTTAAATGATAAAGAAACCAAGTTACTGCATTATAAATTAACCTACAAATGACAGAAATGCTCAGTCTACTGATAACTCAAACCTGCTCTAGTTTAGGGCGCCTGGGTGGCTCATTTGTTAAGCGTCTGCCTTCGGCTCAGGTCATGATCCCAGGGTCCTGGGATCAAGCCCCGCATCGGGCTCCCTGCTCAGTGGGAAGCCTGCTTCTCCCTCTCCCACTCCTCCTGCTTGTGGTCCCTCTCTCGCTGTGTCTCTGTCAAATAAATAAATAAAATCTTAAAAAAAGAAAAAAAAAAAACCTGCTCTAGTTTATATCTAAATAGAAACTTGATTTCATACAGATTTCACAGCTTCTCAACATCCATATGCCTGGAAACATAAGAGAATTTGTATATCCTTCCACACGAGTCCTTGTGATTCATTCAGGTTGTAGTTTAAGTTTCCTTTCAATCAATCCAAGAAGGATCAGCGTGACCAAGCAAAGCAGATTCCAAAGGCAGGAAGCAGAAGCATATGACGCTACGGAAGTACCTTTCTGATCAGTCCCTTCTGCTGTTGTAGGGCCTTGGGGCAACCCTTCAATGTAGGTGGTCGGCAACAGCTCAGCTGAGATAGGCTGACCTTGTAGCTTTTGTAGTCTCTCTCGTACAGCACTGGTCAGGTCTATATAAGCCTCATCAATGCTGCCACGTTCAATCCCAGCAAAACGAGACATTATCCCCATCACTTCCACACTGGCTTCCCGGTACCTAAAAAGTATAAGAATTATCATATGTGTAAGCAATAAATGAAGGCAACATTGAGACTGTCAGCCCCCATCCCCTTCATCTCATAATGGAATCATATAAATAAACAGTGTAAGGTCTCCTTAAAGGGAGGAATGGCTTGGCAGAAATGAGGTAACCCAAATGAAGGGGTCAATGAACAGGCAAATGGTCAGTAACAGAAGCAAAGAAAAAGAAGAACCATGGAGGCAAACATGTTTAGTGACTCTAGCACTATGAAGGTGGAAAGCATCCAGACCATAAACATGTTTTTGTGGATCTCTCCAAAGAGGAAAGAAATGCTTCAAACTTGTTCAACTACATTTTACTAAGATCACCTATTCTTTTTGTTATTTTCATATATCCACTATGTATTTTCTACTTCTACTTTTGTCTTCAAATAAGACATAATTTACAGGAAACACGGCCCTGATTCATGAACCCAAGTATCTGGTCCCTTTCTCAAGACAGTACTTCTCACTATAAATTAACAAAGTGACATATGGATCTTATACTTCAGTCAACAGTGAGTTGGATCAATATGTGAGCTGGTTCTTGCTACATATATACACATACGCACACACACACATCCAACCAAGTCCAATCACTTCACTTCTGGGTATACCAACATTCAAATAATCAAATTGAAGATAAATGCCTAGAATGTGGTGACAGCCTTCCCCAGGGGATACCAATTTCACCATAAACCTTCTATTTAAACCGTAACAAGCAGCTCTTCTGGCTGTAGATAGCTAGTTTCCTATGGCAATATGTGCATATTTTCTTTGCTTTGAACCTGCTATGGAATTTAAAGTAAGTTCTTTGTTCCTGATAAATCTATCATAAAAATGGGAATATCTGCACCATTTCACAAAGACATCTATAAAAACTAGTATAATTATTGTTCTAAAACATCCTCAAAAGAATTAGAGAAATATTTGGCTTTTTTCCTTTTAATCATTATTTGTGCTGGAAAGAGGATAGTCAGACCTCAAAGGAAATAAAAGAGTACAAGCGTGTGCAAGAGCATGAGAACATGATACACACACACACACACACACACACAGAGTGAGGAAAGAACACCTTATTGCAGTAGTTGGTGTTCCTTCACAGCCTCCTGGGCAAATTACTCCAAAGTATCTTAAGAATATTTGATAAAATGTATGTGTATACATTTCTGCAAATCATATTTTATAACTTGGTATCACAAGTTAATTATTAAAAAAATAATTTTAAATTGCCAGGTCTTAATAATTCTGGTCTATACACTAACTCCTAAATTTGGTAAACGGCTTTGTTCATTATTTGATGAAGATATATTTTTTTTAATTTTTATTTATTTGTCAGAGAGAGAGAGAGACAGAACACAAGCAGGGAGAGCGGCATGCAAACGGAGAAGCAGGTTCCCTGCCAAGCAAGGAGCTCAATGTGGGACTCGATCCCAGAACCCTGGGATCATGACCTGAGCCAAAGGCAGATGCTTAACCAACTGAGCCACCCAGGTGTCCCATTTGATGAAGATTTTAAAAGGAAAATAAATGATCCAGTTTAAAGCATGCAGCTTTTCAAAATCATACTCGGAAGTCAACTATATTTCTGGGAAGTTACATTGTCTTTACCAGCATAAAATTCTATTCAATGCAGTGTAGCATATGTCCATTAGCTGAGTTAATTTTACTTTAGGGTTAAGATACTAATCTTCAGTCAAATCTGTCTTCTCTTCTGACAATAACTCCAAGGTGAAGTTGCTTATGGCACACCACCTTTAGACTTGTAATTCATAGGTTAATTCTCAAGTCTTAAGTCAAATCATGATCCCTACACACCACACTACATGGTAGAATATACTGTGAGAATGTGGCTACTGAAATCTAAAAAACCCCTGAATCCTCAGTTTTCTATCTCCTAGCTGTGTGAACTTATATTATTTAACCTCTCTAAACTTGTTTCTTTGTGGAGGTGGGGGTGGGTAATACTAGAACCTATCTTACAATAATGTGAGATTTAAGAGATCTTGCCTATCGAGAGTTTGTACAGGCTGGCATAGGACAAATGCTCAATATATACTATTTATAAGGATTATTATAATGGCTGGAGCTTGTACTTAACCTCTAACTTAGCTATGCCCATATAGACTAATGTCCTACAATCTGGGGAGTGACAGCTCACTTCAAACACAGAGGTAATCTCCTTTGAGACTGTTCAGTTCTAACAAGTAATTCTAGATATGCACTACAATGTCAGTTTGACTCATCCTTCTCTGGAAGAGCTTAGTTTCAGTCAATTTAATTACTTCAAACATTTCAGACTTTTGGCCTAAGAACATGGAAATTGGTATTAAGTTTTAACTCTAACACCAATTCTTAAACAATTAAGGAACTGAAAGGGTGTTAAGGGCAGCAATTGTTATAGGCTGTAATGACTCTGCACTGTTCCTGAAACATAGTACCAAATCTATTTTCATGTCAGAGAGTAAAGCTGGCTGTGCAAAGGAACTTTGTCAGGTGTTAATTATACAAAACAAATTTGAAACATCAGTTCCTAGGCTCACAGAATATTGTTTCCAATTCTTCCATTCCCCTAAACAATCTTTTCTTCTTACTTGGTGAGGTTAGCCTTCCCACGGGACTCACGAACTTGTACCAGTAGAAGATCTGGACATAACTTCTTAGCATCATCTGCCCACATGCTTCTAGCGACCCCAAATGCACGAGCTTCATAACTCACTGCAACTATTCTAAGATTAGGGGAAAAAAAAAGAGAAACAGAAAAATATTACACGATCACAAACAAAAATAACTAAAATTTAACTGAACGGGCTATAAACATAATAGTAGAAACTTTTTGGTCACAGATGCCACTATTCCATCTCAAACAGCGCAGTTCAGAAATCTCAAAAACAGGACCTAACATCCTGCCATGTATTCTTATAGAATAAAATAGCTGACAGTTACAATAACTATGATACATACCCACCACCCTTCCATGATTTGTACTGTACAACCGCACAAGGTTTATTCTTCAAATGAGGATTTTGCCGCTGTTCCACTTGAACAAAAAAACAGTCCATGTCCACTAGGGCAACTACCCGGTCCTGTCCAGTAGCCATTTTTCTGTAAGACAATATTTTATGGTCAGAAAAGACACCTAATCCAAAGTGCCAAGGAAAACTGTTATTTCTGTTCTTCCATTGTTGAATTATCATGAGCATGGATACTAACAAGAATGAAATAGGCATTTTCATATACTGCTGTTAGGAGAATAAATAAATAAATTGGTACAATTTTAGGAAGGTAGTAAAGCTTAGTCATCATGTCGCGTTAGTCTTCTCTAATCTGTGACAGTTCCTCAGTCTTCCCTATTTTTCATGACCTTGACACTTTTGAAGAGAACTAGTCCATTACTTTGAGAATCTCTCTCAATTTAGGCTTGTCCAGTGTTCCCTCTTGATTAGATTAAGGCTATACATTTTTGGCAAGAATATTATGGAAGTGATGTACTCTTCTCAGTATATCATATTGAAGAGGCACATGACATCAAAATGTGTTATTACTCATGGTGTTAACCATGATCATTTGGTTGTGATAGTGTTTGCCAGGTTTCTCACTGTAAAGTTATTTTTACTTTTGTAATTGTTATCTCAGGGGAGATACTTTGAGATTATGCAAATATCCTGGTTTTCCTCAAACTTTCAACCATTAAGCACCTATCAGTGGGTCTTGCCTGTAACACTTTACAGTGTTCTAATGGTGATTTTCTATCCATTTATGTAAACTTTTTAAGACAAAAAAATACTACATACTATTCATATAAAAACATAGATAAAGGTATGGATGGTAGATTGGGAGAACAGACCTTATATACTTGATATCGGGCTCCCTGCTCGGCGAGAAGCCTGCTTCTCCCTCTCCCACTCCCCCTGCTGTGTTCCCTCTCTCTGCCAAATAAAATTAAAAAAAAAAAATTTTTTTTAATAATAAAATAAATTTAAAAAGTGAATTATTATAAGGGTTTTTAAAAATAAGTTTTAATATCGGGATGCCTGGGTGGCTCAGTCGGTTAAATGTCTCCCTTTGGCTCGGGTCATGATTCCAGGGTCCTGGGATCGAGTCCCACATCCGGCTCCTTGCTCAGTGAGGAGCCTGCTTCTCCCTCTCCCTCTGCCTGCCGCTCCCCCTGCTTGTGTGCTCTCTCTCTGACAAATAAATAAAAATCTTATTAAAAAAATAAGCTTTAATACCAATAATGTATTTGTGTAAACAAAAATTTAATTTTCCTTCATTTGCTATGAAGAGTGTTTTCTTGAACTGCTGGTCTGCTCCTGATAAATTTTTCTTTACCTTTTTAAGTAATCTGCCTAGAAAACAAAAGATTCTGTTTCGTCAAAATAATTTCCTGTGCTTCATGTTATCTTTATCAAGTCATATTATAGAAAACAGAGTCTTCTCTATTAAGAGCTAAAGTTTTTTTGTTTGTTTTTTTCACAACTATGTAACTTGCCATATTTGCTTGCAAAGTCTTTGTCACTTCGATTAAATGGACAACTAAGTATTGTTTCACAATGACCTGTGATCCTATTTAATCAAGGGGTTTCAACCTTTTTGTTATTTTTGACAACCTTCGCCAGAAACTACACTCAGCATCTCAATACCAAACAGCCATAGCTTTGTGGACTATGAGAGCACATGAGCTTTCTCTTCATTTATTTTGTGGATCCGATGGCAAAATGTGTCCTAAGGTATCAGAAAAGTTTAAGAGAGGTTATTTTTTAGGTCTGAGAATGCTCAAAAACTTTTCCATATAAACAAATGGTAACTGCTTTTTTGCTTTACACCACTTTGGTCTATGGGGTGCCTGGGTGGCTCAGTCGGTTAAGCATCTGCCTCAGGTCATGATCCCAGGGTCCTGGGATAGAGCCCTGAATGGGGCTCCCTGCTCAGCGGGGAGCCTGCTTATCCCTCTCCTCCCTGCTTGTGCTCTCTCTTGCTATCTCAGTCTCTCTCCCTCAAATAAATAAATAAATAAAATCTTAAAAAAAAAAGGAACGCTCTACTTTCAGATAGTGGGGTTAACCTGTATGGTATGTTAAATTATGTGGGAAGCAGTGTCAATTATGAAATAATGCTAAACCTTCTTTATGCATATCCTTGTATGGAAATACAAGTGTTCAAGAAACTATATGAAATTCCTAAAATTCTGATATATTATCTATCTTAATTCCAATTATCATTTTGAAAAGTTATCATTTTAAAATGTTATGTGTCACTTGGGGTGCCAGGGCTCAGTCGGTTAAGTGACTCTTGGTTTCAGCTCGGGTCATGATCTCAGGGTTGTGAGACTGGCCCCATGTTGGGCTCTGGGTGTGGAGTCTGCTTGGGATTCTCTCTCTCTCTCTCTCTGCCCCTCCCCCTCTCTAAAAAATGTTATGTGTCACAAAAATACCAAATTTCCTTGCCAAATGCATTATAATGAACTCTCAGGATCTTTAACTATGGACATTTTTAAGTCTTTTGTCATTTAGAGTTGTTTGCAAATGTGTTTCATCTTCAGAAATTCATGTAAAGGACACTGATAAGTACTCTAGAATACAGGTTCTGATAACTTTTAGATCATACCACTGAACTGGGTAAGAACTGACAGGACACTAATAGAAAAACTGATGGTTTCATAAAACTGTTAACAAAAAATCAACAAGAATTCCATGGGACTGAATGAACTGATGAGGATGATTATAATTTTTATGACTTTTTGTATGAAACGTTGTTGGTTCTTAGCAATTTGGTAAAGTATCCTTTAGAGAACACAGATGAAACAATTACTTTTTCTCCCTACCTGATCCCTCCAGAACTAAAAAATGTCAGTGAATATTCTTATTTTCATGGGAATATAATTATCTGCATAATCTGTTCATCTTGTAACCGGACACAAAGGGAAACTGGTTATATTACCCAGACTTTCAGTGGAATGTCATATTTGAGAAAGACATACATAGATATAATAGTTAAGGAACTAAGGTTGACTTTATGGAGCCAATAAAGCCCCTTGAAAAATCAGCCTGCTACGTTGCTTACAGAGTTCCCAATAGCCTTCCTAAGGAAGGTCACTTCCTGGCAAGCCCAGGAACCTCAGGGTGTTTTAGGAACCTCAAGAGAGGAATTCACCTAAATTTATAGGTATTGTAGGCAAGACCTACTGGCAGGTTTCTGGATTGGCTTCCTGGCCTTGAGAGGCTTTTATAAATTGAATCTGAGATTCCTTATGAAAAGTTCCAGCAAAGCAGACTTAAAAGTCTATATGGTCAATTCTTGCTGCAATGATGTAAATTCGTATTGCAATTATGTAAATAATCAGCCAAATTTAATGAGATTAAACTTATTTTACAAATTAGCCTTACTTCGACTATCTCTGATAGAAATGGGGGTGATTGTGAGACAAAGAATGCTTTAGTAATATACCTTTGTGGGTATCAGATTCTGTCGCTGTTATTTGTCTTTGAGGTTTTGTTTTCCACCTCTAAACTGAACTAGATCCTGAATTCTTCTAGTTTCCTCCAATATTTGGCTACAACTCTCCAAACTAACATTTCCAAGTGTTATCCCACCCTTCTGACTTGGAAACACTGAGAACTAAAATTGCCCTTTCCCAAAGCCATGCAAGCTGAAGTGGGACTTGATATAAACTTAAGAGAAATCACCACAATAGTTCGTGTATAGACAATTTTTGTGCCTGTTACTGTGTGGGCCACTCAGAAAAGATCGCCAGAGACATTCAAACTGCAAACCAGGAAAATCTAAGATTGCCACTGTCTGCCCTCACTCCATCTGAAGATGCTTTGAGCCTGACATCTAGAAATCTTCTCAATTGGCTGCCTTCAGAACTCAGAAACTGGAATTATAATCTCCTCCAAACATTAACCTTTGTTTTTATTTTTGTTTCCATAGACATACCTCTTATTAAATGCCTGAAGCAAATACTTCCACCATGTAGGCCTGTTAAAAAAGAGACAGCAGGCCCAAAATGGAGTCACTTATACTAAGCCCATGTCACCAAACCAAGACTGAATACCTAATCTCAGTTTTAGCCCCTCCCAGTCTGTAATCTTAACCTGTCAGTCTGGAATTTCCTGGTCAGCATTAGTGCCCTGCCTTCCCCCAAAGAAAGGTGGCCTTGCTTGAAACAATCCACTCTTTGACAGTAACTTTCTTGTCATGCCCCCTTCTGCCTCTAAAAGTCTTACATTTTGTACAGCTCTTAGGAGTTTCTTTTTGTTAGATGGGATGCTGCCCAATTCATAATCTTTGAATAAAGCCAGTAAGATCTTTACATTTATTCAGTGTTTTGTTTTGTTTTTTTTAAACAGGCTTAACTTGGGGAACCCACCTGCATGACCACCTTCTGAAATGAGACACAACCTTTTAATTATTCTCAGGACTAAGAAACTGGTTCCATTGAATATGAAACAATCTAGCAACTCAGGACAGGCTCAAACCTACTTATACTATATGGCTGAAGATGTTAAAATATTTCACAATATTACCCAAATCCTTGAACAGATTTCCAGGGCTAGCTAAATAGTCAGGATCACTGACCTATTTTCATGGCTGGACCCTTTCAAGTTTGGGACAATAGCTGGAGACTGGATTTCAAACTATGACCTGTATAATTATTTATATAAGTATAACTTTTAACATACCAGCTATCCAGGTAGTTAATGTCCTCATCATTGACTCTGGCATCACAGGGTAGATTATTATGTAAACCCTGACAGTTGTTCTCCCCCACCCCTTTTTCATAAGGGAGATGCCTGATTTAAGCTTGGATTGCTGAGGCATCTGCTCCAAGATGACTATCTTGAATAAACACATAGCCAGCCAAATGACTAGATAAAGTGCCAGACCACCTCCCCCAGCTAAGACTCCTTTGTTTTAGAGTTCTTGGTTGATTTCAATAACTGGCCATTTTTTGGGTGCTTGGTTTTTTGTTTTCCATTTTCTCTCTTCCTGTACTTTAAACTCCCACTTTTTTTTTTTTTTTAACGATTTTATTTGATTGAGAGAGGGGACGGGGGGCGGGGCGGACGGGGAGAACGGGGAGAAGAGAGGGAGAAGCAGACTCCCAACTGATCAGGGAGCCCCCTACAGGGCTCAATCCCAGGATCCCGAAATCATGACCTAAGTCAAAGCAGACACTTAACCGACTGAGCCACCCAGGCTGCCCCTCCTGCTCTTCTTTTTTAAATTCACTGATGAAACTCTTGATCGCCACCCTCAATCCCAGTAAAAGCAGAACCCCGGGCCTGTTCTAGCTTGCTCCCTCTCTACCTGTAACTGTGCTGTGTGCCCAACTGGTTTGTCTTGTAAGCTCCAGGGCTTGTAAGGAATAAACTTTTTTTTTTCTTTCAAAGTTTCCTGCGAGTCACTGCTAAAGGGTGTCCTGCAATCATACTAAGAACCATAAGAACACTGGTTTGAAAAGAGATGTCTGTGGGAAGCTCACTGGAGCCCAGGTGAGTGCCCCCAAACATTTCTAACCCTAGCATTACGATCGCTAGGCTGAGATAGCACAAAACACATCCATACCAATTAAATTAGGATGTCTGGTAGTAGAAGCAAAATACCAATGCTACTTAAATATTATTTTATTTATTATTTTAAAGCATTATTACTAATAGACCAAGAGAGCACAAAACAGGGTGTGACCTGGGCATTGTGATTTCTAAAAGCTCTCCAGGCAGTTCTAGTACGTAGCAGAGATTGGAAACAACTGACCTAAAGTAAATAAGATACTTATGGAAACACCAGTAATTCATGATTTAAATATGAGAAACATAGGGCGCCTGGGTGGCTCAGTTGGTTAAGCGACTGCCTTCGGCTCAGGTCATGATCCTGGAGTCCCAGGATCGAGTCCCGCATCGGGCTCCCTGCTCAGCGGGGAGTCTGCTTCTCCCTCTCCCACTCCCCCCTCTTGTGCTCTTTCTCTCTCTCACTCTCTCTCTCAAATAAAAAAAAAAGATTTAAATATGAGAAACATAGGTTATACAGTTGAGTAAGCACTGGACTGTATTAAAAAAGGTCAACAATTAACATTCACCTTGAGAAAAGTGGCAGGCAACTAAGAATGACAGAAGTTACTGGAAAGAAAACAATGAATAAAAAATCTGAGTAATCAAGGCATTGATTCCTTATAAATTTCACTCACTGAAAACTGGAAGAATGTGTAACTTTAAACATTTGTAAGTTAAAACCATAACAGGTCAGAAATCACCTTGCTTGAAAGGAAGTGGGTTTTGTGTTGCACTGGAACAGATAATGCCAGAATAAAAATAGTAAACACATTTTCTCACACACATACACATACACATACACCCACATCCACCCCACCCCCACCACGGAAGTACCATGCTAGATGCAAATAGCAGAAATGTAGTTTGAATAGGAAGCAGTGATTTAAGTCCAAACATTTTACTGAGTAAACAAACACAAAACCCAATATGCAAACTTCAACAGATAATGAAGCTGCTGAAGTGTTCAATTTATGTATTATGCTGGAGAAAGCAAGAGCTTTTTTTTTTTTTAATTTTGTTTTTTTAAAGATTTATTTATTTATTTGAGAGAGCGAGAATGAGAGAGAGGAGGGTCAGAGGGAGAAGCAGGCTCCTCGCTGAGCAGGGAGCCCGATGCGGGACTCGATCCCGGGACTCCAGGATCATGACCGGAGCCGAAGGCAGTTGCTTAACCAACTGAGCCACCCAGGCGCCCGAAAGCAAGAGCTTTTTAAAGATGAAATAATGAAATACACTCGCTGCCAAAAACCCCCTTCCCGAATAAGGATTACACTGTTTTGAAGTCTTATCTGTAGCACTTCAAATGATCCAAACTGCACAAGCCTTCAATAATTATAATTATTCATCTAGCGAAAATGCCGTTTTCCCACAAGAAAATTCCTCTTAGGGGACCATACCGGGGCCTTACGTCTCAGTGAGCATACGTTTGTTTCACCGAATTTGGGTCCAACGTCACCACCAGCCACTGCTATAGCATAAAACCAATAGCCAAAATATTAAAAGTCTGAAAACAGCGATACCAAACGATTCTAAATCCTCTTACCAATGTAGCAAGCACCTGGAGAAACTGCCAACCACGGACGCCAAAGATGCCGGGCTCGCTGTCCACTGTAAGATGAAGGGGTCCTGAATATCTGCCCCCTTTCCGGGACAGGACCAGTCGGTTTCGAGAGCTTTATTCCCCGTGCTGCCGGAGAAACGGACCAGAGGTCACGGACGACCCTTGACTGGGGAGCGGTCCGCACTACCCCACCGGTCTAGAGAGGTTTTACGCGCTCAGCGGCCAGCCCTCAGAATGTAGATTAGACAGCGCGCGCAGCAAAAAAAAAGCCGTTGACGCGCCTGCGCACTGCTGCCCTTCCGTCCTCCGCTCCGCCCACTGAGAAGAAACCGTCATCCCGGAGCCGCCACTTCCGCGGGCGCGTGCGCAGTGGCGAGTCGGGCGCGTGCGCAACCCCCGATTCTTCCAGGCTGGAGCTTCTGCAGCTCACGCTCCTCCTCCCGCTCCCCACCCCCCAGCCAGCCGCGGCCCAGTACCAGCGTGTGGTCCCGCGAGGGGAGCGGTCGGTACCTCGTGCTCACGAGACGGCCGTGGTCCGCGCTCGTGGCGCGTGGCACTGGCCATGGCGATGGATCAAGTGAACGCGTTGTGTGAGCAGCTGGTGAAAGCGGTGACGGTCATGATGGACCCCAGCTCCACCCAGCGCTATCGGCTGGAAGCCCTCAAGGTAGACGGGGTCTGGCGCCCCGGGCCTGCCCCAAGACCCTCCCCCAACTCCAGCGGTCCCCCCGCAGCCCAAAGCCCTGCTGGTTTCCCGCCCACGCAGCCCTTGGACCTCCTACCGCAACCCCGGGGGGCCTTAGCCTTTCCCCTCCACGCCCTCCGCGCCTCTTCTCACTCCGGGCTTTCTCTGCTAACCGCGCCTCCCCTTCTCTCGGGACTCTCCGGTTCCTTGCTGCTTCTCATCTTATTACCACTTCCCACTGCCCTCTCCTCTCCTTTCCCCACTTCTGTTCAGTCTTGCCCGCACCACAGCCGGATGCTTCTATTTTATTACCCCAAGCCCCACATCCCCTAGGCTTCCCGTGGCGCACGTGCCCATCACGTCCCCAACACCAGCTACATTCTTGACAGTCTCCCCTGCATTAAACGTTTCCTTGCACTCTCCTGACCCGTCCTAGTCGAGCTCCAGCCCCCCTAATGCCACTTTATTTACATTCTTACACCTCTCACTAATCCTCTTCTGTGTCTTGGGTTATTTCTGGGCTAATTCTCCCACACCCTCCCCCCATGTTCTTTTACTGTGTTCTATTCTCAGGCTATTTTGCGCAAAGATGAACTTCTGCCACTTACTTTGCATTTTAACAAGGGCACTTTGGTTTCCTGAAAGTAGTTTTCTTGAATCCGGATGCTCAGCTCCTGGGACTGACTCTTGTGTTGCAGTTTGGGAATGCTAATACAAATTGGGATGCTAATAAAATGTGAACTTATTCCCACATCAAACTATGTGTGTAGGATGTGAGAGATGACCATTAGGAAAAACACCTGTGCATATATATTTTTTAAAGTTTTTATTCAGTTAAGTGCTGTGTATGTTTTAAATGATGTAACTTTATAGAGTGAACATCATTTGGGGAAAACTTTACTTTTAAAAACACAGATGTCTGCCACAGGATTTGGAATGAGAAACAGTTGGGTTCTATTAGTTTGGTTTTTTGCTATAAAATATTAAAAATATACACAAAAGTAAAGGGAATAATACTACAATGATCTTGTATATACCCCTCACCTAAATTCAGGAGTTACAAAGATTTTGCCACATTTGCTTTATTCCTTCCCCCCACCTAACTTTTTTTAAAGCAAATCCTAGAAATTGTCATTTCATTCCTATATACTTCAGGGGTATATCTCTAACAAATGATTTTTTACTCCTTTAGGTCAGACTTTTTTCAACATTATTTGGCCATAGCATGGAAAATTTATAACTATCAAAGTGAAAGGAATGTTTATCAGTTCTTTACTCATATACTATTGGTCTAGATTCTGCAGTTTAAAAATATAGCTCAGGTTGGAGTTCCGTAAGGTAAGTTTTTAAATTTTTTAATCCCCACTCTCTCTTGCCTCCTAAGGGAAATACTAACTTTTTTTGTTTCAGTTTTGTGAAGAGTTTAAAGAAAAGTGCCCTATCTGTGTCCCCTGTGGCTTGAGGTTGGCTGAGAAAACACAAATTGCCATCGTCAGACATTTTGGCCTTCAAATCCTGGAACACGTTGTCAAGTAAGGAGCTTTTGGACAGTACCACCGAAGTCTGTGAGAGAGCAAATCTTTATTTCTTATATAACTCATAGAGATAATCTTTAGGTGAGTAGAAAAGAACAATCTCCAAGAAGAAAGGAGTGATCCCCAAGAGATTATCACAGCCTCAAGAGTACTCTTATTTAAGACTTAACCTTCCTCTTTTTCAGTTTTTTCATCCATGTAAAATACATGGTACAGTCAAAGCATTCTACATATATTATCTGATAGTGGTTCAGTCAGTATTTATTGAGCTGCTACTATATGCCAGCAGATCTCAGTCTTTTTAGAATAATACAGTGTATAGGTAATAAATCTCTGGTTAGGCATTGTACTTTTAATTTTTTTTTTAAGTTTGAGTGTGTTCTTTCTCTGAATGGCGAATCTGAAGCAGGATTATATGAGAAAAACTGAAAACCCTTCCTAACTTGAGTCTCCTACCCCTAGCATTTATCAGAAGAATCAGCTTTTAAGACTTAGCCATAGTTTTTGTGTTCTGTGTTATTCATAAGCCAGCACCAGAAAAAGAGGAATTAGTGGTATCACCATTGTATTTTCTGAGAAGCAACTACATTTGTTGCAGTTGTCCCAGGTGTATATTTGCTTTTGACCTATCAGTAAAATCAAGAGGAAAAGCTAATCTGTGCACAAATCCTGTGTGAATATCAAATAGTGGACCACTTCCTATATAGAACTTTTTCCCAAGAATTTTTCTGTTGTTAGCATTTTAGTTGAATATAGAGTGTTCTTGTCCATTTTTTGAAGGGTACAAAATCAAAAGTACAATTTCTTGGTGAAATCACTAGCATAATATAACATAGAATCAAAGCTAGTCTCTTATGAAGACTTCTAATGTGGTTCTCTTGACCTTACACATTTTGGTGGCCAGGTTTCGGTGGAACAGCATGTCTCGATTGGAGAAGGTCTATCTGAAGAACAGTGTCATGGAGCTGATTGCAAATGTAAGGAATGATTGGTTGGAACACTTGTGTTTCAGAGGTAGTTTAGACTAAGGGTAACTTCTTTAACATTTATGTAAAAACTAGGTCTACATAGGTCAAACAGCACGCTCAACAGGGCAGAGAAGATGAAACATTTTCAGCAAATGAACAAGATTATTAGATCTAAACTAGATTGCACTTTGCTGTTTGTTTCCTTTTATTCCAAACCGAATTACTGTATGATTTTAACAATACAAAATATGCAGTATGAATTAGTATCAGGAATTAGGATATGACTTTAAACATGCCTAAAATCCACAGCCTTTTTTCTTTTTTTTTTTACAAATGGCATGAAAAGTTGAATTCCCACCTTTTCCTCTCCAAAGTTGAGTGACTTTAATAGAAAAAAATCCCCTTCAAAACTATCAATTTAGGATTTGTATTTTGCTGGTTCTTGGGAAACTTGATAGAAATCCTAATTAATTAATCTCGCTATCAAACTCCAGAAGAACAACGTCCCAGGAATAGTTTTTTTGGTCTTATAATGCTAGAACTATCGGTAAAATATTTAGTTTTGCTTCCCAAACTCTCTTATTTTATCAGCTTCTTATTGTCCTCCTTTCTGTACTCTTCTACTTTGGCGCTCTTACAAAATGAAATAGTCTGAGAGTCTCTTCAGTTTGTAAAGGAAAACAATGATGTCTTCCTTGCTCTGTGTGACAGTCACTTTATGCCACCCTTACTTAAGCTTTGAGTGAGGAAAATGGTTAGTGAGAATGCAGGACAAGTGACTCAGACCTGGAGAACAGGTTTGTTTACCCCGTTTAGTTTAAAAGCAAGCCTGCTGAGGAGTTGTGTACACTTTCACAGCACAGGGTTTTGGGTTTTTTAGGTTTCTTAAATTCAGTCTTACAAACCTCTTACTATCTCTTATTCTTTTTCAGGGAACACTGAATATTTTGGAAGAAGAGAACCATATTAAGGATGTTTTGTCTCGAATTGTAGTAGAAATGATCAAGCGGGAGTGGCCACAGCACTGGCCTGATATGCTAATAGAACTGGACACCCTTTCCAAACAAGGGGTATGAAATATAACTATATTAGTTCCGTTTATTTTGCGGGGCTGTTCTGGAGTTTGTTTTGTCAACAGAAAAGAGCTTTTGGGCATACCTATAGTGAAAAAGAAGTTTCAGTTTAATTAGCTTATTTCTATTGATGCAGGAAACACAGACAGAATTAGTGATGTTTATCCTTCTACGACTGGCAGAGGATGTAGTGACCTTTCAGACACTACCCCCTCAAAGAAGAAGGGATATCCAGCAAACATTAACCCAGAACATGGAAAAGATCTTCAGTTTTCTACTTAACACGCTTCAAGAAAATGTAAACAAGTACCGACAAGTGGTAAGGGCTACCCCACCTCCCAAAAGTTCTATTTTCTAATATGAGTGGTTTTGTTGTTTGTTTTTTTGAAGTTAAAATAATCTGTCAGCAAGGAATTAGGATGTCTAGTTCAGCAAAAGGAAACCATTTTATAAGCAAAAGAGAAACATGACAGGAAGAACTGGAACTAATTTTCCAAGAAACTCAGGTCAGTGAGTTCCCATGTTAAAAAAATAATCCTTTATAGTAAGAAACTTCTTAAAACAGTATAAAAATTGTTAATTCTTAATGTTTAAAGTATTTAAAACCCGGATTTCCGGTAGGTCAGGGTAGCATCCCTGTTAAATTTTGATGCCATATTTAGTCCCGGTCCCTTTTGCAGGAAATTGCCAGGTTTTATTTATCTTGACCACATGATTCTTGGTACAGATTTCCCCTGCTACCTGAAAGAAGAGCGTTCCCTTGAAATCTTTTGTAAGTCCAAATAGCATAGAATGAAGAAGAAATTACCATTAATTTATATGGAATAATTTCTGAACATTCCCACATCCAAAAAATAACCTCTCCTTAGCTTTTATGACACCTTAGGGACACATCTTGCTAACAGGCACACAAAATAAGTCAAGATAAAGCACAGATGCTCCCAGACACAGTTCAAAGCTATGGCAGTTCCATGCTCAGATGCTGATTGTAGTTCCTGAGAAAGGAACTTAGTGGTACCTCTGTAAGGTCTTGCTGTAAAACAAATATTGAAAGCTATTTTCACTTTTTGCCTTTCTTTAAAGTAAAAGCAGAAAATCCTCCTCGGATTTCTTTCAGTTAAAGAAAACAGCTACTAATGTGGGTCTTGTGAAAAATCAAAGTTTCATAACACAAACTTACAAAAAGTGGGAAATACCTGTATTTTATTCTTCCTGGGAAGGTATTCGGCAGAAGAGGGCAAGCCAGATACTGTGTTTCCAACCATTGTCATTTTTAACAGAGAGCTTTCAGAAGAAAGCCATGTGAAAATTAATCTAGTACAGTAGTTCTCAGCAAGGGACCGTTTTGTCCCACGTGTTATCACAGCTGGGGGGTTGCTGCTGGCATCTAGTGGGTAGAGGCCAGGCATACTGCTAAACATTCTGTAACACACATAATTGTTCCTCTACAATAAAGAATTATCCAACCCAAATGCCAGTAGTATTGAGGTTGAAAAACCCTGATCTAAGGATGCCTGGGTGGCTCAGTCGGTTAAGCCATCCAACTCTTGATTTCAACTTAGGTCATGACCTCAGGGTCAGGAGATTGAGCCCCACATTGGGCACCTCACTGAACGTGGAGCCTGCTTAGGATTCTCTGTCTCCCTATCCCTCTGCCCCTCCTACCCCACCTAAAAAATAAAAGAAAAACCCTGATCTAGAATTCTTATATGTGCTTATTCACAAAATAGGATTAATTAAAATTAGTTATTTTTACACCCCTGGCAATTTTTTTTTTTTAAAGATTTTATTTATTTGACAAGAGAGAGAGGGATCACAAGTAGGCAGAGTGGCAGGGAGAGGGAGAAGCAGGCTCCCTACTAAGCAGAGAGCCCGATGTGGGGCTCAGTCCCAGTACCCTGGGATCATGACCTGAGCCGAAGGCTGACGCTTAACTGACTGAGCCATCCAGGCGCCCCAGGCCCCTGGCAATTTTTAGAGAAGTATTAGATACTAACACAAATGATGGGAAGGTACTTTGAGCTGTTGGGGTGGGGAGAACTCAGAGTAAGTACCTAATATATGCCATATACTTGTTTGCACTTTGTGTGTTACTTAATCTTCAGAACAACCCTAAGAGTCAGAAAGTATAGTCTCCATTTTATGGATGAAGAAAACAAGGTCCAGAGAATAATTATTGAAGATCCCCTAGTAAATGGTTGTGGTGAACTTCAAGTCCCATTCTATAATGGCCTGTTTCCCCCAGAATATCTCCCCAAGATTTTTCAAAAGAAAATGTCAGGAAAATACTTGCACTTAAAAACTTAGGTGTATTGAGGGTGAAGGAGGTATTTTTTTTCCTTTTCACCTAGGAGATTTAATCTGTGGGAGAAGGGGGACAAATTATGACTCCTTAGATGCCCCAGCAGTCTAGCCAGCATGCCTGCGCAGGGCTGATGAGTGATGGTCTGAGACGTTAGAAACACATCCGCTGCAGTGTTTTTCTTTAGCCTCAGTTTCAGTTCCCTTCATCTGTTAAACCAGACTACCTCTTGTGTCCAAGACCAGAGCACACCAGGAGCTGTCTTGTGTACCTGGAACAACGTCTTTTGCTTGAGAAGTTGCATCCCTTCTTCCATTCCTTCTCTCCTTTCCTCCCTTCTCTCTTTCCATCTCAGCTTCTTACTCCCTTCCCTTCCCCTTCTCGCCTTCCATCCCTTCACCTTCCCAGTTGGGGTGGGGAGGGTAGGTTGAATGGTAAACGCGACAGGATGAGTAGGCTCGCTGTCCCTGTCCAGTGACCTGGGCCCTGGTCCAAGGGGACCTACAGGATCGGAGTGGGAGTGAAAAATTGTTGGAGAGGAAAGACTAGAATTGGCTCTTGTCACTTGGATTCCTTTTCCTTCTTGGACAGCATCAGTAGATGCTGGTGTGAGAGGGTTCTCCTCTCTGCCCATTAACACTTCTATCCCGTCACTGATGATGAAGACTTAATACTTGTCCTTTATTAACAAACGTATTTTTTAAAAGTTGAGAAGAGAAATTGTAGAACAAATCCTTTATAGTCCTAATGGCAGTGAGTTTTTCAGGTGCTTCAAAAGTTGTTATTCCTGCTTCTGTTCCCCTTTACTTGTCTTCAGGAGTTATTCTTCATTTTAATTTCAGAAGTTTTTTTGGAAAATAATAGTTTTGTACATGTAAATTATAAGCATTGTGTAGTATTTATGTAATTTAAAGTATAAGGGTAGAAATCAGTTATAATTGTACATTTACTGAATGGACATTATTTTTATCTATTCAGCATGTGATATTTTTGTGTGTGTGATTTTCCTGTGTTATGTGCATACATATATGGTCATAAATTATGTTCATTCAACTTTGTCTCACCTTTTTCCATTTATATTACATCATTTCAATATTCTTTTGCTAGTTATAATTTGTCTTTATTTGAATATGAAAAAATGCCCATACTTTGTTTTGAATTACATTTCTTTGATCCCTAGCAGTGTGGAGCCTTATTTATTCATCTGTTGTACTTTCTAAACAGTGTGCTTTGAAACTGTCTTTGTGGACTTAATGTTGCAACAAATTTGTGTAAGCTCTTTAGATACTAACTTTTTGTCATATTGCTAAAATTCAAATAACCTTTCCTTAGGGGAAATAGTAGCTAAATTTTCTTAATGCACTTGTATTCTTTTCCAAGGTTAAAAGTGGAGTCTGTATTTAAAATCATTATTCAAGGGACTTTATTAAGTGGGTGGAAAGTTACTTACATAGCCTTTTGCTCATTAAAAACATTGGATCCTTATACTTCTTTTCTTTCAGAAGACAGATAATTCTCAGGAGTCAAAGGTAAGAGCTCTTGTGGAGTTGGAAGGAGACTTCTTTGAGGCTTTCAGGTACAGAGATGCATATACCTAGTGGAGGGTAACCTCAGCCTTGGTTTAGATGATCACTGAGCAATGGTAGAAGGGAGTTAGAATTGCCGTATTTACAATTTATCAGAGGAGATGAAATGGCTACATGCGCCAGTATGATCTCATTGACAGACACTGAGAATGCTGTTGTTTGAGAAGTTGTGCATCAAAAGAAGACCTTTGAGTGCTCTGTCTGGCTGTTACATGAGTATGTTTTTTTTTTAAAAAAATTGTTTTCTTTTTAGAATTAGAGAATAGGAGGAGCTAAGGCATAACCACAGCCTCTTTGTCTGTTAGTGAGGACTTAATGATTGAAAGTTATTTCTTTTCACGCAGGCCCAAGCAAACTGTCGAGTAGGAGTCGCAGCGCTGAATACTCTAGCAGGCTACATTGACTGGGTGTCCATGAGTCATATCACTGCTGAAAACTGTAAGCTTTTAGAGATGCTCTGCCTGCTTCTGAATGAACAGGAACTTCAGTTGGGAGCAGCTGAGTGTCTTCTCATTGCAGTCAGCAGAAAAGTAAGTTACCACTTCAAATTGACTTTTATCCTCAGAGTCTCTACGGGGTATGTATGTATGTGTGTCTAATTGTACGTTGTGGCAGAAAGACATTGGAAAGTTTGGGATTTATTTTTACCTGACACCAATTTAATTATCTGCCTCCAACCTCTTTGGACTGTAGTTTGCCTGTATTCTAGGGATCCATTGGCAGCATATACAGAGATGTGTTGGACTACCTTATTTTTGAAATCTCTATGAATCTTGGCACTTCACACTGAAGAAACAAGATGAAAGTAATACTAAAATTTGGGGCCCCTGGGTGGCTCAGTTGTTAAGCGTCTGCCTTCGGCTCAGGTCATGATCCCGGGGTCCTGGGATCGAACCCCGCATCGGGCTCCCTGCTCAGCGGGAAGCCTGCTTCTCCCTCTCCCACTCCCCCTGCTTGTGTTCCCTCTCTCGTTGTGCCTCTGTCAAATAAATAATAAAATCTTTAAAAAAAAGAAAGTAATACTAAAATTTAAAACTCAGTGTTATGTCAAAGAATCTTAGGTGGTAGCTACACTGGCTTTATATTGGCCTGGGCTAACAAATGGGACTGTGACTCTTTTCTCCATAGGAATATTATCTTTAGATGTAATTTACTTTGTTTTCATATCAGCATTATTGCCCAACACATTTAAAAATAGAAGAGAGAGAAATCCAGTTTTGATTTTAAAGAATCGGCCTTTTTTCCAGTGTTTAGTTTGCCCTGGGACTATGAGAGATTATGAAGTCAGTATATTTCATTATATAGGTATAGAAGATGTTAGTATTTGAAGGTTTTTAATAACAGAGTTTGTATTACCTGTGTTTCCCTAAAATTGATTCTAGGGCAAGTTGGAAGACCGGAAGCCCTTGATGGTCTTATTTGGGGATGTTGCCATGCATTATATACTCTCGGCTGCACAGTGAGTATCTACTCTTCTATGTGTTTTCTGGTTTCTTTGTCATTTCTATAGTTTATACCAATATATCTGAAGTTCCTATCTGAATATTGGCAGTCAGTTGACAGTGTTTTTAATTTGAAAGGCAGTCTTAAAGGAACTTTTTAACCTTTTTAAAGACTTTATGCTGGAAAGAAGTTCTGGCTGTTAACTCTATACCCAGTCACTTTCACAGTTTTCCCCATTCTTCCCAGACAGCTCATCTCCTTGATTCTGTTTGCTTCTGGTGATCCCCAAGCCTCCTAGTAGCGCTGGTGCCTAGGCCTGAGAATGCTCTGATCTTCTGGACCAGAGTCTGCCCCAGGGCCTGCCTTGACTGCAGAACTCCAGACGCTGCTCCCTCCTCTCCTGCTCAAAGTAATCAATGCCTAAAGTGCTGAGGCTCTTGGAAGCAGCAGGAATAGTGTGTTCGATGAGAAATGTATGCATGGGACCTGCAAACACATTCTGTGTCCTAAAATAATGGCTTCCACTTTCTTTCATTTTTAATTGCTTTGGAAAACACTTGACCTTTTCCTGATAATGTGTTTCTTACTAGGAAGGCAGGTAGAACTGTACTACAAAGACAGTTAAAGCTGTCATAGCATCTTTTTTTTTTTTTTTTTTTTGGATACTCTTCTCTTAGTCTCAGGGACAATTGAAAAGATGTGAGATACACATGTATTACTTAAAATCTCTTACTGTCCATTCCTACACAGCTTTTATGATGGCTTTCTTTTCTCTGCAGACTAGCTCTGTTTTTAAGGGATCCTTTTAATTAAATTCATAACATGTCTTTTGGATGGCCACTGTAGTTGACTGTTCCCCAGGTCCATTTCTTAGTTCCATAGAAACCATGACATTCACACTGAGGTGTCCCATCTCTGTTGTGTTACTTACTGGTACTGGTTAGTAAAGCTATGATTCGAATCAGGCAATCAGACTCGAGTCCTGCACTAGAAACTGTAATGCCGTATTATCCCTCAACATGGCTAGAGCCCCGGTCTTCTTACCCCGAGGCCCATGCTTTTTACATTATACTCTGCCTCAGGAACACAGCTAATATGAGTGCTGTACACACTAGTTATTACTAATTCTTACTAGTGTGAATAGTCCTGCATCATTTCAGGTCGGGTTTTGCCACCAAATAAGTTATTTTTTTTAATTTTTTTTTTTTTTAGGGATGCCTGGGTGGCTCAGTCAGTTAAGCATCTGCCTTCAGCTCAGGTCATGATGCCAGGGGCCTGGGATCGAGTCATGCATTGGGCTCCATGCTCAGCGGGGAGTCTGCTTCTCCTTCTGCCTCTGCCACTCCCCTGGCTTGTGCTTTCTCTCTCTGACAAATGAATAAATAAAATCTTAAAAAAAAAAAAAAGATTTTTTTTATCTTTATGAGAGAGAAAGAGAGAGAGTGTGCATGCGCATGGTAGGAGAGGGGAGGAGCAGAGGGAGAAGCAGACATGAGCCAGGAGTCCAATGCGGGACTTGATCCCAGGACCTGGAGATCATGACCTGAGCCGAAGGTAGACACTTAACCGACTGAGCCACCCAAGCACCCCTTTTTTAAAGAGTTATTTGGATTCTAAAATAGTAACTAAGAAATTACACATCTGAACTAAATGACTTCGAGAAGTGACACACAAAGTTATGTTTTTATTTTTTTTAATTTTTTTAAAGATTTACATTTTTAAGAGCAATTTCAGGTTCACAGCAAAATTCAGCACAGGTGCAGAGCTTTCCCATGCTCCCCCCACATGCATAGCCTCTCTCATTAACAACATCCCCAACCAAAGTGGTACATTTGTTACAATTGATGAACCTACACTGACACATTATAATCATCCAAAGTCCATAGTTTACTTTAAGGTTCACTTCTTGGTGTTGTACATTCTGTGGGTTTCAACAAATGTACAATAACATGTATCATTACAGTATCTTACAGAGTATTTTTACTGCCCGAAAAATCCTCATTGCTCTGCCTATTCATCTCTCCTCTCTCACCCCAGCATCTGGCAACAACTGATCTGATCTTTTTACTTTCTCCGTAGTTTTCCGTTTTCCAGAATGTCATATAGTTGGAATCGTATAACCTTTTCAGATTGACTTCTTTCAGTTGGTAACATGCATTTAGAATTTTCCCATGTGTTTTTATGGCCTTGATAGCTCATTCCTTGTTAGCAGTGAATAATATCCCATTGTCTGGTTGTACCGGTTTATTCATTCACCTATCAAAAGACATCTTGGTTGTGCCTCCAAATTTTGCCAGTTATAAATAAAGCTGCAATAAACACCTAGATTTAACATGTTATAAACACGCAGGTCTTTGTGTGAACGTATTTTCAACTCCTTTGGGTAAATACTAAGAAGCATGATTGCTGGATTGTTAAGACTATGCTTAGTTTTGTAAGAAACTCAAATTGTCTTCAAAGTGGCTATACCATTTTGCATTCTCACCTGCAATGAATGAGAGTTCCTGTTGCTCCACATCCTCCATCACCATTTGGTGTTGTCTTTGGTCTGGATTCTGGCCATTCTAATAGGTGTGAAAGGTATCTTATTTGAATTTGCAATTTCCTGATGACATATAATGTGGAGCATCTTTTCATATGTTTATTTGTCATCTGTTTATCTTTGATGAGATGTCTGTTAAGCTTTTTGGCCTATGTTTTAATCAGGTTGTTTTCTTATTGTTGAGTTTTAAGGGTTTGTTACATATTTTGGATAACGGTCCTTTTTTAGATGTGACTTTTGCAGATATTTTCTCCCAGTCTGTGGCTTGTCTTTTCTTTCTCTTGATTATAGCCCTTTTTTTTTTTTTTTAAGATTTTATTTATTTATTTGAGAGAGAGAGAATGAGAGAGAACACATGAGAGCGGGGGGAGGGTCAGAGGGAGAAGCAGACTCCCTGCCGAGCAGGGAGCCCGATGTGGGACTCGATCCAGGGACTCCAGGATCATGACCTGAGCTGAAGGCAGTCGCTTAACCAACTGAGCCACCCAGGCGCCCGATTATAGCCCTTTTAATTTTGTCAGTGGTATAAGGAATTGTTACATGCTTTCCTATGCATCTCTCTTTAAGTCCTCCCTGGGTATCAACAAATGCCTATAAGTATATGCATTGTTGTATGCAGTCATGCTTAGAGTTTACATTATTAATCCAAAATACTCAAGGACCATATAATGTGCAGAACTAGAGTGCTTCTTTGAGGGGTAAGATTGCATTGAACCCTGTTCCTCATATTGATCCTTCAGTGTTTGGTTTGAGTTTTTTTGGTTTTTTAATTTTAATAATCAACAGAAATTTGAATGTTGAAGCACAGACCACATACAGCTCCATTTGGTGGGAATCTTTTTGGTTCTCTTGATACGCAACTAATCATAGTATTTTCTCATCTTACAGGACTGCTGATGGAGGAGGCTTGGTAGAAAAACACTATGTCTTCCTGAAGAGACTCTGTCAGGTGTTGTGTGCTCTGGGCAATCAGCTGTGTGCATTACTGGTGAGCACTTACTTTCTGGAGAGTTTCAGGGCCATTTGAACAGAGCATTTAGAAAGTTATATTTGTATAATGAGTGGAACATGCCATTAATTTTAGCCTTGTGGAGCATTGCCCTACAGGTTATTTCATACAATTTTATAGATTAAGTTATTGTAACAGGGTTTGAATGATGTAAATTTCTTTTAACAAGTCAGTTATTGATGTTAACAGGAAACATCCACATCTGTTATTCCATAAAGTCAACATTACTATTCTTGTGAATTTTGGTACTTATAGAACATCAGTTTGCTGAATGCATTACCCTTTAGAGTCCTATTAGATCATGAAATATTATGTGTTTGAATAAAGAACCCTTTTCCCAAATTTAAAGGATTGTATTATTGATCATAAAAGAAAACTTTAGTGTGATTGACCTAGAAATACCTGTCTTTAGGGAAATATTTAATAACTCATAAGTTGAGAGATAGGACATTGCTACAGACATTTGCGTCTGATGTTATGCCTTTTTATGGTGGTTTGAATGGCTAGAGAGGATAGAGCTTCAGACATACGATATATACCATCAAATGGTTGTTTAATAGATTTGGTCACAGAGATATGAATAGACTAGGTGTGAAGAAATAATACAGATTTTTTCTTTCTGTGATTTCTGAAATGAATGCTCTTTTTCATTTTAGTATTTGACTACAGAATGAGTTTTAATGATGATGATTAAGGAGGTAAAGCACCTTTCCTCTTTTTAGCCCTTGAATTGATGCCTTCCTTAGGTCACAAGGAAGTATAAAGTCCTTTCAAAACTGAAATTTGTGAGGGTTTAAGTTCTGTACAGTTGACCCTTGAACGACACAGGTTTGAACTGCATGGGTCCACTTAGACACATATTTTTTGATAAATACATGCAGTTCTGTAAATGTATTTTCTTTCTTAGAATTTTCTTAATAACTTTTTTTTTTAGCTTCCTTTATTGTAAGGACACAGTATATAATATATATACAAAATATGTGTTATGTGTTAATCAGTTTACATTATCAGTAAGGCCTCCGGTCTATAGGAGGCTGTTAAGTTTTGGGGGAATGAAAAGTTATATGTGGATTTTTGACCCTTAGCCCCCGTGTTCAAGAGTCAGCTGTGTTTGTTACCCTACTCCTCCCACTATCCTCTTCCACCCCCCATCAACGTCACTGATGTAGTGGTCTTTTTGTCCCTCAGGGTGTGGATTCTGATGTAGAAACACCAGCAAACTTTGGAAAATACCTGGAATCTTTCCTTGCTTTCACAACCCATCCAAGTCAGGTAAACGTTATGTAGGCAACATCTGAAAATTTTAGTTAGGTAAACCAAAATCAAGCACTACGGCTTGAAATAATTAGCAGCTCAGTGTTTAAAATCCTGACTCTTAAGGCCCTAGGAAATAACTCTAGTGTAATTTCATTAAGAGAATTGTTGAGTCGTCTTCCTGAGCCAAGTGTTGCACCGTCTAGGTCAACAGCTTTTTCCCGCAGGTAATATTCTGCTGATAATCAGATATGAGGTGTGTCCTGGGTGATTTGCTACCAAAGGCATTTTAAATGCAGAAGTCTAATTGATTGTGTTATAAAATTAATTTCACACATTTCAGGTTTTCCTTGTAGTACCACCCTGAGATTCCCATATCCTTTTTTGCCCTTAAAGTGGTAGAGGGGTACCTGGCTGGCTCAGTCGGTAGAGCATGCAACTCTTTTTCTCCAGGTTGTTCGAGCCCTACATTGGGCATAGAGCTTACATAGAATAAAAAAGAAGAAAAAGTGGTAGAGCTCGGCTGACACTCCAGGAATTACACCTGACCCATAGTTTGTCTTAATAGGCAGTCATTACTGATAGAGTACAACATGGACAGTTTCAAAGTATTATAGAGATTTATTTCCATGAAAAAATATTGTTGATAATTGTTGAGCTAAGTAATAATCTTGGTTATATAAAATCCAAATCCTTAAACTGAGGTTTTTCTTTTTTTTTTTCCCCCACCCCCTTTAGTTTCTACGTTCTTCAACTCAAATGACTTGGGGGGCCCTTTTCCGGCATGAGATCCTATCCCGTGACTCTTTGCTATTAGCAATAATACCAAAATATCTTCGTGCTTCTATGACTAACTTGGTCAAGGTAGGCAATGGGAATCAAAATGTGGAATGGAATGCCTGGGTGGCTTAGTCAGTTCAGCGTCTCGATTTCGGCTCAGGTCATGATCTTAGGGTTGTGGGATCGAGCTCCACATTGGGCTCTGCGCTCAACAGGGAGTCTGCTTGGGATTCTGTCTCTCCTGCCCCTTCCCCTGCTCACTTGCTCATTCTCTCTCAAATAAATCTTAAAAAACAAAACAGGGTGCCTGGGTGGCTCGGTCGGTTGGGTGGCTGCCTTCGGCTCAGGTCATGATCCCAGGGTCCTGGGATCGAGGCCCGCATCGGGCTCCCTGCTCGGCGGAGACCCTGCTTCTCCCTCTCCCTCTGTTTACCGCTCTGCCTACTTGTGCTCTCTCTCTATCTCTGTTAAATAAATAAATAAAAATCTTTAAAACAAAACAAAACATGGAATGTAGGTGAATACACATAATAAGACTTAGATTGGCATTACTGACAGCCCATTTTGGTCACCAAGATCCCATCGTTAGGCATATTATTCTCTTACTCACCAAGAAGAAGGCAGTCCAAACTGGTTATTATATACACTTTTTCATATTTTGGAGCACTTCTATACAAAGTACTGGGCTAAGTGCTAGGAAGAAGAACAAGAGCTGTGACCCATGACCATGCAGTGGGATAATGCTTTTCCCAGTTTAAAAGCAGGCAGGGTGGCGCCTGGGTGGCTCAGGTGGTTAGGCATCTGCCTTCGGCTTGGGTCATGATCTCAGGGTCCTGGGATCCAGCCCCACATCGGACTCCCTGCTCACTGGGGAGCCTGCTTCTCCTTCTCACTCTGCTACTCCCTCTGCTTGTGCTCTCTTGCTCTCTCCGTCAAATAAATAAATAAAATCTTAAAAAAAAAAGAACTTGGGTGCAGGAGCTCATGCATTTCAGTCTAATAATAATAATAATAAAAGCAGGCAGGGTGGAGCCAAGATTCCAAGATGAAGTCCTATGTGATTGTTTCTGAAGGTCTAGTGAGGGTCTGAAGGTGAGTGAGAAGGGAGGACAGAAAGTGGAAGCAAATTGCTCACCACTTCAGTAGAATTGCTTGTGAATTCCCTGAGATATGCTAAGGCCTCTTGTAGCTGACAGATGCTTAATCTTGATTTGTAAAAATCAGAGAATGGCACCTATATAAGGGTCCTCTTATTTCCTCAAGGAATACACCTAGCACTTGGCACCCTGTTCTCATTCTCTGCCATGGTCTTCAGGACTTTTTGAGTGGAACATGCAAAGTTCCATGCTTATTCCCAGGGTTCAGCATTGAAGGACACAGATCGTTCTCAATTCTCTCTTGGTTATTGCATGCTGTATTAGCATTTGGGACAGGTTTATACTCAGATACCGTAAACACAATCCAGAACTTAATTCTCCCTGAGGAATCTGGAGGAGAACATCAAATGAGTTTTCTCTTATCTACCACTCTCGGAATTATTGGAACTAGGAGAAAACTGTGGACTTGGGGTAGACCAGAAGCTTATAGAAGATCTCATGCAAACCCTTAACTCTTCTTAAATTAAAAAGTGCTTGAGCTCCTAGAGTTTAAACCTCTTTGGGTAGGTCTGTTTTTTTCCCCTACCCCAATTATCTTTCTCTTTGCAGATGGGCTTTCCTTCTAAAACAGACAGCCCTAGCTGTGAATACTCTCGGTTTGATTTTGATAGTGATGAGGACTTCAATGCTTTCTTCAACTGTAAGTGATAGTAGCCTGGAATTTCTGCCAGTCATCTGAGAATGGCATCTGGTATTAGGAATCATGGTGCCTGACCCTTAGGGTTCTATATCAAAGGGCCCAAGATCTGGACAAGCAGCCTGTTTAATCTCTAGTTTCACATTGCAGCAGGTACTGGGACAGCGCTCATTCCAAGTGTAGTATTCTCTCTTGTGCGTTGCATTACACGCACACACATGCATGCACACGTATGCAGCCTTTGGACTTTGGCGTTTTGGCATAGTAACTATATGTAAGGCACTTGAATTTTTTTATGCCTAGGATTAAATACTACCTTACCTTGCTGGTCTTCTAAAAAAGGAAAAACCCACATTTTGATAACCTAACTCTTTCTGGTTTTTTTGTAGTCTGGCTGGTCCCCCCCTTCCTTTTTTTTTTTTTAAATAACATCTTTATGAGATACAATTTGTTTACCACAGCATTCACTCATTTATAGTATACAGTTCAGTGGTTTTTTCTATTTTCAGAGTTGTGCAACTATTGCCACAATTTGCGGACATTTTCATGACCCCAAGAATCCCTGTCAGCCATCCCCAGTCCCCTCATCCCTCCCAGCTCCAGGCAAACCAGTATCCACTTTCTGTTTCTACATTTCACCTACTCTGAACATTTCATATAAACAGATTATACGATATATGGTCTCTTGTAACTGCCTTCTTTCACTTAGGGTTATGTCTTTAAAATTCACCCATATTGTGGCATGTATCAGTACTTTCTTTTTATTGCCAATATTTCATTGTATGGGCGTACCACATTTTATTCATCCATTTCATAAGTTGGATATTTGAGTTGTTTCTACTTCTTAGCTGTTGAGAATAATGCTGCTATTGGGGTGCATGGCTGGCTCAGTCAGAGTATACAGCTCTTGGTCTTGGAGTCATGAATTCAAGCTCCTCGTTGGGCCTAGAGCTTACTTCAAAAAAAAAAAAGGAATAATGCTGTTGTACCATTTATGTACAAGTTGAGTGGACAGACATGTTTTTATTTCTCTTGGGTATATGTCTGTATTTGATCATATAGTAATGTCACATTTAATGTTTTGAGGAACTGCCAGGCTGTTTTCCGCAGCAGCCACACTGTTAACATCTGCATCAACCTAATCTTTTATTAATTCCAACAGAAATGGGAGACCGCCTTTAGTTTGCCTCTTATAGGATTGATCTGGTAGGGCGGCTTGCAGAGATAATTTACTTTTAAAAATTTCTGAATTCGTTAATCTTTATTGAACATGTGTTACATTCAGAGCATAAATCTGCAGAACAGAGTTTCTTTGAACACTTTACTCCTGGGATGGATAAATGAATGAACATTAACTAAGTACCTCTTATCTGCCAGGTACTGATTTATGTCTTTCTCTTGGCAGCGTCCCGGGCCCAACAAGGAGAGGTAATGAGGTTAGCATGTCGTTTGGATCCTAAGACTAGCTTCCAGATGGCTGGGGAGTGGCTAAAGTATCAGCTGTCAACTTCTGTTGATACTGGATCCATGAACTGTAAGGTTTTTTTTATTTCTAAACATTAGTGAAGTATTATATCAAATATACATAGGAAATAAGCCTTGTAAGCCACACTTCAGAACAGCATGCTAATAAGCATTCGAAAATGATCTGTTTAAATTAGGGTAAAATCATGTCCCTGTCAGTCTTGCCTTCATTTTTCTTTCCTAACAGAATGAACCAGTTGCTCATTGTTGATTATATTACTTCACTGTTGGCACCATCTTAGCAAATTGCATGTCTAGACTTTTTAAAGCTTTTCTACCAAATTCTCGCATAGAACCACTCCTAAACTTAGAAAGAATGCCTTGTTAGTCAGGCATTATAGGAGCACTACAGGGACTTTCTCTTTCACTCAGCCACCTCAAAGCCTTTGGAAATGCTGCTTTGTACAAAATCAAAATAACACTTCTGTACCAAATGCATAAGCCAGGTAACTTCTCTGTACTCCATGTCATCTGTCTATTGTCTTATTAATTAATGCATGCTGTGGGTGACAGGATTTAATAAAACAGGAGAAGGTATAAGTCACTCCTTTAGAAAGGTTCCATATTTATGGTCAGTTACCAGATACACTAGTTACTTGGCATTCATAGGATTTAACATTTTGTTTTGGGTATTCATAACTGACTCTAAAGGTCCATGGTATCTGGTAATTTGAATGTTTGTGGAGGCCCACATACATTGCACCAAGGTAAAGCTAGTAAATGGGAGCACTATATAGAAGGAAGAAAAGTAATTCATAAATCTTTTTGCCTGTGCCTTGCTGTTTGAGTGATGTGCTTTGCTGATACTTACGAACTTGAAGGGTGGCACAGTTCTCTAGAACTTGGAGTTGTCATGAGGCTACTGGATATGAAGTAGCATTTTGTTATCTTATATCAGGTTTTGTTTCTGTTTTGTTTTGTTTTTTTTTTGGAAAGGATTCTTTATGGTCACAGATATCTTAATTATTTAGATTTTCATGGACAGGTTATAAAGGAGAGGAAGAGAGAGCTTAATTGATATTTGTCAATCGCCTGTGTTTCTTGATGCTTACGTGTGTATTCTCATTCAATATTCAGAATCGTTTTACAGGTAGGACTCACAGAGGGAGTTCTGACAGCTCATTGTTAGAGGTGGAGGCAGTATAGGCCCCTCATCTACTTTTAGTTCTTTTCTTTCCCCCAGACTGAGAGGGATTAGATTATCCTAGTTCTTCAACTGTGAACTTACGTGATCTCTAAGTCCCCACTAAGTCCGCATTGTCTCTCTGTATCTTCTGTGATCCTGCAGTTGTGTGTGTGTGTGTGTGTGTTTATATTTGTGTTTTAAAACCCTGTTCTCCTGCAGCTGGAACTGGAGAAGGCAGCCTCTGCTCCATCTTCTCATCTTCATTCGTGCAGTGGGAAGCCATGACTTTTTTTTTGGAAAGTGTGGTCAACCAGATGTTTCGGACACTAGATAAAGAAGTAAGTAACTGTTTCCTGTGCTCATTGCATAATGATTTTGATCTTTTTTTTTTTTTTAAGATTTTATTTATTTATTTGACAGAGACACAGCACAAGAGGAGGGAACACAAGCAGAGGGGGAGTGGGAGAGGGAGAAGCAGGCTTCCCTCTGAGCAAGGAGCCCGATATGGGGCTCAATCCCAGGACCCTGGGATCATGACCTGAGCCGAAGGCAGATGCCCAACCAACTGAGCCACCCAGGCACCCCGATTTTGATCTTTTTAAAACTGACAGAGGGATGGGAAAAATCTGTGGATGTGCGTCTCACAGAGGAGGAAATGGAAAATCAGAGAGGTTAAATAACATACTCAAGTTCAAATTGCAGGTTTGACTCTGAGCCTACAATGGTCAATATTCATTTTAAGCAGATAATAAGATAAGCCTGTTCATATAGTGAAGCACAGGTAGGACAACTTTTGCAGGGAGGACAGCAGTGGTAATCTTGAGTTGGAAAATCTTTGGAGGTGTTTGCCATTAAGCATCCTTTTCAGTTTATGGCAGATAGACCCAGTATTCATGTTAGCTGATCCATGTCCTCTTCCCTGAATAATCTGAATAAAGTGGTCTTGTTTTTGTATGCTTCATGTGACCTATTTGTGAGATATAGTGCTTTTTCTCACAAAAGGCATATTAACAAATTAGATCTTAGAGTCGCTAACTTCATCTGCCTGTATACTGATTTGAGTTTGAAATGATGGTATTCAGAGTTTGTTCCAAAATTTAGGTAGGAAATTCTACTTGGATCCTGCATTTTTTACTAAATGAGCCCTTTTTCAGGTTTAAGTGGGATTATCTAATCAAGAAAGCCCTTTATTGAATCAAGGGAAATGGCCCTGGGGTTTCTTTTCCTGGCATTTTTTAAGTTAGCTTGATAGATCCAGATACTTGGAAATGATGCTGTTGGAAAGCAAGAGAATGAAATGGTCAGGGTTTGTCAGGTGTTTGTCTTTAAAATGTACGAAAGGACTGGCAGTATTGCGGGGGGTGGGAGATGCCTAGTTGGTTGTAGGCTGGATTGTATGATATGTCCTTGAATATGATGGTATTTGGTCAAAATGCAAAATATTAGTTAGTCAGAAAGTACAAAAAGTTTGGATTGTATATAAGAGAAAGATGTGGGCTGGAGACAAAGCAAAGGTAACAATTAGAAACTGAGTAGGAGTCAGAATAATTGGTGGGAGAAAAATAGTAGAACAAAATTCTTTTTTCCTCAGGAGAATCCTAGATTGTAGTATTTAGGCTTCTGTTAGTGACTTAAAGTAAACCTCTGACTCTCAAACCATTTTTCTTCACCAAAATTAAATGGGTCAGAATGAAGCGTTCCTAATGAATAGAAGTGAGTTTTTGGTGAATGTATATATGATGAAATTATTCACCACTTGTTAAGGAAGCTGTAACACTTTATATGTCCCAGGAGTGTGCAAGTGACAGAACTCAGCCTGTCACATTCCCACTTGCTGCTCTCAGTTTCTGACTCTGCATAGCATTGTCTAATCCAGCAGTCTTGCACACTGCTCACTCTGCACCCTCAATCCCCACCCTCACCCAGGGTCTGTCAGCAGCTCAGCTGGTAGCCTGTGAAAGAGTTTGACCCAAGAGGTTCTTTGGCTAAAAGAGGTTTTTGTTTTGTTTTGTTTTGTTTTTAAGATGTTATTTATTTATTTGAGAAAGAAAGAAGGCACACACAGGGAGAGAGAGAAGCAGGCTCCCTGCTGAGCAGGAAGCCCGAGGCAGGGCTCAGTCCTAGGACCTTGGGATGGATCATGACCTGAGCCAAAGGCAGACACTTAACCGACTGAGCCACCCAGGCATCCCTAAAGATTTTATTTATTTGAGAGAAAGAGAGAGAGGGAGCATGAGTTGGGGGAGGGGCAGAGGGACAAGCAGAGTCCCCAATGAGCTGGGAGCCCAACATGGAGCTCGATCCCAGCCCTGAGATCATGACCTGCGCTGAAGTCAGACACTTAACCGACTGAGCCACCTAGGCGCCCACTAAGAGTTTTTTGAAAAGTCATTCCTCTCATTTGTAGTGGCATTAGCTGAGCTGCTAGCTTATATTTCCAGAAGACTTACTTTAACAATGGATTAATATAGGGAATAACTTTGGAGGGGGGGAAAAATCACATTTTGAAGAAGACGAGGATTGATTTGCCGCAGATAGCAAGATACGAAGGTACGATATTTTATAGGCAGTGTGGTACTGACATTAGATGCAGCTCACTGGGACAAAATAGCCCAGAAACAACCTGGAGCATATATAAGCATCCCAAAGAAATCAAGAAGGATTGGATCATTTAATAAATAGCATTAGGGAAAATTAACTGTTTGAGGAAAGGTCCCTGGGTCGAAAAATAATGGAAGTAATCACAAAAAAGTGAATGGGTTTAACTACTTTTTTAAAAAACATATCATAAAATAAACTTTGAAAGGCAAACTTGGAACAATATTTGCAATAAATATGATGGGATTAATATTCTTACTATAAAAACTTGTATTTTCTAAACAGTGCTTTTTGAGTACAATTGACATCACAACTTGGGAGACTAATTTGACGACATCTAGTTGAAGATGCCTAGCCTTATAACCCAGCAACTTCACTTCTAAGTCTGTACTCTGAAGAAACCCCTGCATATTGCAGCACTGAGCAACCAACATTCTATAGAATCCTTATGTGTTGAGCCAATGAAAACCTTAATAACCCTCCGTAGATTGTACAGAATAAATGATAATATGTTTATAGAGCAGTGAAAGGGAACTAGGATATACTATGAATAAGTATGAGTCTCATAAGCATGATGGTGACCCCAAACAGCAAGCTACAAAAGTAAACATACACAATTCTGTGTAACCAGGAATATGTACATATGTGGCAGAAGTATACAGAAATGATGGAGTCCTTGAAATCGTGAGCACCAAATTCAGGATAGTGGCCACCTCTAGGTCTGAAGAGGAGGGTACGTACACAAAGCAACCACTCTGTTGGTAACATTGTACATCTCAAAGTGGTCGCATGGAGAGTTAAAGTATTGCTTACACCTTTCTAAAGGTCTGGAATGTTTCACAATAAGTTTTTTTTCTTTATATGTAAATTAATTAAAACACTAGAATCTAGTGGAGAAAGAGACAAAAGATGAGATTTATATAGAGAAGAGAAACTAAAGTAATAAATAACTAAATAATAATTAAAGTTAATAAATACGAAAAAATTCAGTCCTCATTAGTAATTGAAGAAATGCAAATTTAAATAAACTCATTATTTAACTTACTGCAAAGATTTTAGGGAATAAACTCAAAATTGCTGCTGAGAACATGGTAAGAAGGGCATATATTGGTGGACAGAGAATCAATTGATATAGCCTGTAAAGAAGAAAAACAATTTGACTTAGAAATATTCATACCTTTTGATTCAGTAATTCCAGCTGTTGCTGTCCCCAAAAGTCTCTACCTCAAATGAAATAATGGAAAATGTAGCCAAAAAATTTTTGCAAAGATGTATTAGCACTATTGGTAATAGGTAAAGAACTAGTAACATTCTCAATTTCTAGTAGTAGGAAGAGCTACATCCTTAAGATGGCACATGGTAGCATCATTTAGGAAAAGTTTTAATAACATGGGGTAAGGGGCTTGGAATTTTCAGGTTAAAAAGCAGTATATAAAACCATATGTGGCAACCATATTGCATATTTATAAACCAAATCCTAAAGGAAATTTTACCGAAAGTGCTCATCAGCCATGTCAACATCCTTTTTCATTGTCTGTATTATAGGCAGTTCCTGTTAATGATGGAATAGAGCTGTTGCAAATGGTCCTGAACTTTGACACCAAGGATCCTCTCATCCTGTCCTGTGTCCTCACTAATGTCTCAGCACTCTTTCCATTTGTCACCTACAGACCAGAGTTCCTGCCCCAGGTCTTCTCTAAGGTAAATTCCATCTCCTTTGTAAACTTTGGGTATTTTTGAACTAATTATTTTTTGTGATTGTTTTTGAGAGTCTTTGAGACAAGCTGATAAACAGTCATTTATTCATTCATCAACTATTCAGTACTTAGAGTGGATTATTATCCTTCCTTACCCTACAGGCGTTCTGTTTGGAAATAAAATTACATAAACAGTTGTTGTACCCATGTGGCATTATAATTAATAGACGAGTATCCTGAGAAGTGGAAAAGAATACCTAAAGAGGGTATCAATGTGCTCTCAGTTTATTCGAAGGGGATTTGTAAAAGGAATGGTTAGTGTGGATCATTTTTGGGTTTCCAGTTTAGGTGAATAGTAGAGAACTACCTGAATGAAAATAATGGAATTGGTAAGAATGAGGAAGGAGGGAGGAGTTCAGTTTGGGAATACTACATTTGAAGTGTATGTAGAATATCTACGAGAAGATGCTTCATAATAAATTGGCTATTTGAGGTTAAAGGTCTAGAGTCTGGAAAATTACAATATTAAGGTGGCATCATCATAGAAGTGCCTAGAGCAGAGGTGAAGCCCTAGCAAAGAGGGTGATGTGTATGTAGAGTTGGACATGTGGTTCAAGCAGGGAACCCTGGGGATTATCATCATGGGGGGGGCGGGCAAAGAATGAGAATTCTCCAAAGAAGAATAAAGATATAGCCAGAGAAATGAGAAAATGTTGTGTTACAAAGGTCAGTAGAACTTCAAAAAGGTAGACTCATTTGTTGCAACAGGAATTCTTTAAGAACTGGGGAATATCTATTGGGTTTCTTTCTTTTTTTTTTTTTAAGATTTTATTTATGAGAGAAAGAGTGCATGGGGGGAGGGGCAGAGGGAGGGAGAAGCAGACTTAGCAGGGAGCTCAACGAGGGGCTCATGACCTGAGATCATGACCTGAGCTGAAGGCAGACGCTTAACCAACTGAGCCACCCAGGCGTCTGTCCGTTGGGTTTCTTGATTAGACCTTTGTTAGAGTATAATTCTATCCTGGTGACTAGCGCAGTAGTCATGCTGTATTAGGTAAAAAAGTCCGTGAGAAGTGACACAGTGGAATCAGAGAGGGTATCACGATGGCTGAGTGTTCGGCTGATGGCTTGGATTGTTCGGGGATTCTGTGACCTCCGCCTTTGTAAAATATTTGATGGTAAAGTTGTGAATCTCAAGCCTCTTGTAGAGTTCTCTGAGAAAATGAGCATCTGAAACTTCGTAACACCAATTGAAAACCCTTTTGTTATTTTCGAGATTTTATTGGAAACTTGATGCAAGCTACTATTTAAAAGCATTTTATGCATTTGGTCCTGATGAGTGACTTTTTCTTTCTTACCCTTAGCTATTTTCATCTGTCACTTTTGAAACTGTTGAAGAAAGTAAGGTAAGACCATTAAATCAACCAACAAATCCTAACTTTTGGAGAGCAAAAGTATGAATGCCTAACACCTAAGTCTAGATTTTTTTTTTATAGGTAAAAGGGGTTAGTAAAGGCAGGAGATGGTCACATGATATAGTGTTTTGTACCAGAGATATTCTAAGGCGAAAACAGTGAACATGTGGATTCATGGTGACTATAAGTGTCACTCCATTAAACTCCCACATTGTGAAAATTGTGAATTTGCCTCTGAAGGAAGTATTTTATGTGTTCTATGCAGCATCTGTAAATTTTATTAAAAGTGGCTCCAGGTTTGTTGACTATGTCTTCCCAGGCCCCCAGAACCCGGGCAGTGAGGAATGTGAGGAGACACGCTTGTTCCTCCATCATCAAGACTTGTCGTGACTACCCCCAGCTCGTACTGGTAAGCTGCTGGCCTCAAACCAGGTAGCCACTGAGACCTGTCAAGTTTAGTTACATTCCTCTGTAAATCCAGCCCTAATTATACCTCACATAAATAGAAAACTAGGAACTATAGCTTTGCTTCAAATAAGCATTCTTGAGTTGATGCCTTCTTCCTCTCCTACTTAGTAGTGGAATTAAAAATGCAAATATATTCCTTCGAAATGAGTAGTTCTTTTCCATGTAGATGACCAAGTTTTTCCTGTCAGTGTACACATCTTTCCTATGTGATGTTTACTGCCAAATGGTGTGCCTAATCTTGAGAGAAGCCAGATGCAAATCCCAACCTTTTTTGGAGGTTTCTATAGGAAATTTAGCACTATTCCAGATTAGAAGTTAGTCAAAAATTTCTTCTCTGAATACACAGCAGTTACGTGTCTCCTAACATATATAAACAAACGAATCTTTGTCTGTGAATATACTATAAAACTGAAATAGAAAAAAAGACCTGTTGTTTTCACAGTTGTAGCATGGGACAGTACAGTTACCCAAACACCCGAGACAAGAACCACCTTCTGCCTAAATTGCCTTACTTGTTTAGGCAAAAGAACAACATTCTAACTAAATGACTTAAGTGACAGTCTTATAGGCCTGACCTTCCTAGGAATGCCTTGATTCTCTCTCCACCTTCCTTGAGTGACCCACCTCTCCTTAAAAATCAGACCTTCACCACCTTTGGGTTTTTTTCTTTGTAATCTGCAGCCCAATTTTGACATGCTTTATAACCATGTGAAACAACTCCTCTCCAATGAGTTACTCTTGACACAAATGGAGAAGTGTGCCCTCATGGAAGCCCTGGTTCTCATTAGCAACCAGTTCAAGAACTACGAGCGTCAGAAGGTGTTCCTAGAGGAGCTGATGGCACCAGTGGCCAGCATCTGGCTTTCTGAAGACATGCACAGGTAGAGGAGAGCCTTTGCCCCAGACCCTCACTGCACTGGAGCACCCCTTCTGCATTTGAAGAGCTGCCCCGGGTGGCAGTGTAAGGATGTCAAGGTGTGACGGCCCCATCGTGACCTCTGAAGTTCTCCAAAAGCAGTCTTTTAGTCTAATCGCTGAGACTGTCATCTTGAGTTCCGAGGTGTAGGGAGAGGGAAGAAGTGAGTAGAGGTGGGCAGTACGGTTGGGAGGCCGCAGAGCGCTTGCAGTGTCTGTACTGTAGTGCCGGCCCGCGTAGACACATGAGCACGGCCAGCAGGGGCCACGCGAAGTAGGCGTCACACACTCACTGTGCCCATGTAGCATTCTCAAGCCTGCATCCTTTTTGCTAATGACATTTCAGAAGTGGGGAGAGAAGTTTCAGCCTTCACATGACAGCAGGCAGTAGGATTAAATTCCTCTCAGCCGTAACAAGTGCTCTTTGGGGCCAAATAATCATAGCTTTTAGCTTTTGTGGAAGAAACTGTCTGTGCTTCAAATCATGGTATGACTCGTCTTTCCCACTCCAACCTTCAGAGTGCTGTCAGATGTTGATGCTTTTATTGCCTATGTGGGCGCCGATCGGAAGAGCTGTGACCCAGGCCCGGAGGATCCCTGTGGTCTAAACCGCGCACGAGTGAGTAAGCCTCTCCTGGGAGTGGGGCGCTCTGTGGCCGCAGGTAGGAGTAGGGTGTTAACCATTTGTAGAGTCTCTTACAGATTTATGTTTTTCCTGCGTGCGTGAGAAATCTGGGAGTCTCCACCTCCCTAAGTTTCTCCTTCCTTTTCTTTAGTTTTGAATTCTTGAGTTAGTTCCCACAGCAGAGCAGATGGTCTTTTCTTTGAAGTCATTATTTTGGCTTTAAGGATCCCCAAATAGCTCTGAAAACTGAAGGTATAATGAGGAATTGGGTCAGCAGTGTGCGTCCTTCCTGCCACTGCTGTCTGGCATGTAGTGTCCTAAAGGTGGTCTAACTTGTAAACCTGAGATTCTTCAGTTCTGTGCTATTCAAATAAGCATTCTTCCTGGCTCCAGTATGGCAGAAGTCTTATTAATTAACCTGGCAAGTAGTAGGTTGGTTGAGAGTACCATGAGTGAGGATTATGGCAAGAGGTGTCAAGACAGGCTGGAGGGTCCAAGGTCAGCCAAAAACAAGACGAAATGTTGGCGGTCTAAGCACTTGGTTGTGAAGCAGCATCCAGGCCACCTTTTCCTTGGGATCCTGCAAGAGGGTCACTGCAGCCCTTGGAAGGACAGCTTCATGTAAAGGAAACTTAAAGAGCCTACCACTGATGCAGAAGATGGCAATGAAAGGACCCCTCTTAGACTGACCCTAAAAGGAACAGGATGGGGTGGGGTCCTTTCCTTCTCTCTGGCCTGTGGTATCACATTTGCTATAACCTTGCATATGTGTAATAACACTTTTGATTTTTCTTCCTCTTTATGTTTACCTTTTGTTCTACGTTTTTCTGTAGATGAGCTTTTGTGTATATAGCATTCTGGGTGTTGTGAAACGAACTTGCTGGCCCACTGACCTAGAAGAAGCCAAAGCTGGGGGATTCGTGGTGGGTTATACGCCCAGTGGAAATCCAATCTTCCGTAACCCCTGCACAGAACAGATTCTGAAACTTCTTGACAATTTGCTTGCCCTTATAAGGTGAGTTGAAATAATGGTTTTCTGTTGTTTTATTTTTTTTACCTTAAGAATCTCAAAAGTGTAATCTGTTGATATTTCTTCAGGTCACAGTGGTTAGTAAATGAGGGATTAGTTCTTCTTTCTTTCTCGACTGGGGTCCCTTTTTTTAAAAATAACAGTAGTCCTCACTCGCGTTAAGTCTTGCATTCCAAGTGAACACATGACGGCTGATCCCCAAATGGCTTTTCTCATTTGGAGCCTCTTCTCTGTGTTCCTCTCCTACTTCCTTATACTTTATCCCTACTTTTTACTTTAGGTTTTATTTGTCCAAATTTTTGCCACTAAAGGAGTTGTTCATTGGGAGCAGGACAGTTGCTTTCTTAGTGGTGCTTCTCTGATATTCAGATGAGCTCATCTGAAGTTATCAATAACAACTCTACCTGCCAGTGGACCAAACATGCAGTGGCTGATCATGCCCAAGGAAGGCATGATACGTGTTCCACCTCCGTTTCCTAGGTCTTTAATTCTCAAAGCTGAGTCCTCAGACCAGCAGCAGCAATCACCTAAGAGCTTGTTTGAAATGCAGAGTCGGGACCCCACCCCAGACATACTAGGTCAGAATCTGCATTTTTAACAAGATCTCCAGGTGGTTTGTGCTTACATTAAAGGTTCAGAGTCACTGTTAAAAATCACATGAACTAATGTATTCAAGTGGAAGTGGGCCAGGCCTACACTTGTTCGTTACCTGAGGTGTTTGATGATTCAGGGACACGCTACAGAGAAGAGTAGGCAGTGGCTAGAATTCAGTTCTTAACTGGCCAAAGCAAGGTTTGATTCTTTTTTATTTCATTTATTTAATTTTTTTAAAGATTTTATTCATTTATTTTGAGAGTGAGCGAGCAGGGGAAGGGGCAGAAGGAGAGGGAGAAGCAGCCTCCCCGCAGAGCAGGGAGCCCAACTCGAGACTTCTTCCCGGGACCCTGGGATCATGACCTGGGCCGAAGGCAGGCGCTTAACTGACTGAGCCACCCAGGTGCCCCTTGATTCTTAAGCTCTCAGTATTTCTGAGTTACAGGTTAGAGCTCTGTTCCAGTGGGTTTTGGCCTCTTACCCAGGGTGGAAGAGCAGCATCTCAACTGGGCGAACCAAATTACTCATGTCCCTGGGACACTGTACGAGAAGCAGACTCCCTAGATCATCAGCTTAAGAATCCAAGGGTTTAAGTTAAGGTTGACCAAACTGCAGAGCTGGAGTGTCTGAAAGAGTGGTCATTGGGGATCTGTGGAAAAGGGCCTTATTTTGTTCTGATTTCAAAAGGAAGAAAGACATTTCAATAAAGAAGTATGGTTTGCATATTGAGAGGATAGTAAATATTAAGTCAAGAAAATTTTTGCTTCCATATTGATGTTTTTAAAACCAGAAGGTTCTTCTGTAGCTTAGAGAAAAGTGGAAGTGATGGAATCAGGTAGCAACATACTATCTTTTTAGGCTTGTGGCCAGAGTCCATGTGGTGGGAACCCAGACCCGGAAAGAAAGTTCATTCCTGGTTGGGCGAAACCACAAGAATATATGGTTGCCATCTTGTTACTTTTCTAAGAGTTCAGTGTTTTGGAAAATCCCGAAGTCAATCAGAAGATATTTTGAAAAATGTTCACCACAGTTATGGAGCAGTTTGATTCTTTGAATAATGTATGTCTGGAGCTATTAGAGTCTTGTCTTGTTTTTATAGTAACTTTTATCTTGAAGGATAATGTAAGGGCACAAATAGATCTAAGGAAGATCTGTGTCTCTGTCAAATAAATAAATAAAATCTTTAAAAAAAAATTAAAAAAAAAAAAAAGAATTGGTGGACTTTTCAATAGTTTCCAGCATTTTATTGTTACAGATAGTGCAGCCATGGTGCTGTTAGCATTCTTGTAAATGTCTTTTGGAGCATGCATAATTTCTTTTGGGTTGGAATAGAATCCTACATGTAAGAGTAGAATTCCTGGTTCATGAGGTATGCATATTTTCCGTTTTACAGATAGAACCAAATAGTTTTCTAAAGTGGTGTACTAATTTACATTCCCAGCAGTTGGGTATTGGAGCTGTGAGTTTTAACTCCTTGACAGATAGTCTGATAACTAACAAGCCACATGTGTCTGGCTATCAAGCACTTGAAATGTGACTAGTTTGAAATGAGATAAGCTGTAAGTGTCAAATACAATCAGATTTCAAAAACTTAGTACACAAAAGGAATATAAAATACCTTGTTAATAATTTTTATATTGATGTTGAAGTTTTTTGGGTTTTTTTGTTTGTTTTGCTGCATTGGGTTAAATAGAATTAATATAACCTGTTTTTGTTTTTTTAAGCTTGGCTGGCTAGAAGATTTTATTTATTTTATTTATTTTTTATTTTTTATTTTTTTTTATTTTTTTAAAGATTTTATTTATTTATTTGACACAGAGAGAGAGAGCGAGAGAGGGAACACAAGCAGGGGGAGTGGGAGAAGGAGAAGCAGGCTTCCTGCGGAGCAGGGAGCCCGATGCAGGGCTCGATCCCAGGACCCTGGGATCATGACCTGAGCCGAAGGCAGACGCTTAACGACTGAGCCACCCAGGCGCCCCTATTTTATTTATTTTTTAAAAGATTTTATTTATTTGAGAGAGAGAGTGCGCAAACGCACGCACATGCACTCACACAGGAGCAGGGGGAGGGGCAGAGAAGTGGACTCCCCGCCGAGCAGGGAACCAGACGCAGGGACTCGATCCCAGGACCCTGGGATCATGACCTGAGCTGAAGGCAGACGCTTAACCGACTGAGCCATCCAGGCACCCCTGACTAGAAAATTTTAATTGGCTTATGTGGCTTATATTATATTTCTGTTGGATAATGTTCCTAGGGGGTCAGATGGAGGACAGATGTGGGGAGCAGAACTCGGGTTCTCAAGAGGTGCATTGTCATCATCGTCTGTTTAGAATGATAACAGCTTTTCTGTTAATTTGAAGTTTGTTACATTGTATCTGTATGTCCTCTATATATTTTATTGAAATCTTATATGTGTGAACTCTGGTTTAGCATAGTGATTATACTCAGCTGTTATTACTGAGAATATTTCACATAGGTACAGACCATGTAAAACTTGGAACTTTTATTACCTGGTTGTCTTTTTCTTTGCCGAGCAATAACTAGTTTTCTCTTAATGTGGAAGCACAGAACCCTGCCTTGCAGGTGTGTCAGGAAAGGTGATATTTTAGGAGCCTAAACATTAGTAGTTGTGGATGTCCCTGCTACAAGCTCCTGAGTAGAAATCAGAGATACTGAAACAATGTATACTCTGAGTCCTCCTGCCACTGCTTGTGAGTTAGAGAAAGAGCCCCAGGGTACCATCATCTTCTTGAGCAGGAGGAGAGGGGAGCCCAGAAGGAATACAAGATTCTGTTGTAGTGTCAGGGATGTTTGACCAAGGATGTGTTAACAATACCTGTTTTTTAAATTCATTAAATTATATCTTGAGGTCACAATCACACTTAAAATTAAAGGATAAAGAAACAGCTTGTCTGCTCCCTGTCAGATTTAAGACTGAATTTCTTCTCAGTAAGAACTGATTTTATCAGAGATCATTTCATAGTATTAGCCATCTTCCCAAACCACCAAGAAAGACTTAAATTAGAAACTAAAAAGATGGCAGGGGCGCCTGGGTGGCTCAAGTGTGGCTCAAGTCCCACATTGGGCTCCCTGCTCAGCGGGGAGTCTGCTTCTCCCTCTGCCTCTGCCCTACCCCCTGCTTGTGCACAGGTGCTCTCTCTCTCTGTCAAAAAAAGAAACTAAAAATAGATGGCAAATTGCAGTTTTTCAAAGTAAGTGGGTCCTTTTACCAATTCTTGGCCTCCACACAGCAGTGTAGGTAAAGGCTAAGGCAGAGTTTTGGATGGCCTCACAAAATAGGAGCAAACTGAATCCAACAGCATGATTAAGAGATTATACACCATGACAAGTGGGATTTAGCCCAGGGATGTAAGAGTACTTCAGCACATGAAAGTAAACTAGTGTAATACACCATATTAATAATTAGAACAAAGGAAAAAACCCACCTGATCATCTTAATTGACACAGAAAAGGCATTTGACAAAAATCTAAATTAAACACCCTTTGATGATAAAAACACTTTTAGCAAGCTATGAGTAGAAGGGAATTTGCTCAACATGAAAAATGATTCTTATGATAAATCCATAGCTTATATCCTACTCAGGGGTGAAAGATGGAGAGCTTTTCCCCTACCATTAGTAACATGACAAGGATGCCCAATTCCAGGGCGCCTGGGAGGCTCAGTCACTAAGCGTCTGCCTTCAGCTCAGGTCATGATCCCAGGGTCCTGGGATTGACTCCCGCATCGAGCTCCCTGCTCGGCGGGAAGCCTGCTTCTCCCTCTCCCACTCCCCCTGCTTGTGTTCGCTCTCTTGCTATGTCTCTCTCTGTCAAATAAATAAATAAATAAAATCTTTAAAAAACAAAAACACAAGATGCCCAATTCCACTGCTATTCGACATTGTGTATTGCAAGTCCCAGAGGGATAATTAAGGCAAGAAAAAGAAATAAAGGCGTCCAAATTGGAAAAGAAGTAAAACTATCTCCATTCACAAATGACATAGAAAATCCCCCAAACTCACAGAAAAAGATATTACTGGTAATAAGCAAATTTAACAAAGTTACAAGATACAAGATCAACATACAAAAATCAGTTGTTTTTGTACATTAGCAATGAATAATACCAGAAAAAAATGAAGAAAATAATTCCATTTATAATAGCATCAAAAGAATAAAGTATATAGGAATAAATTTAACCAAGGATAAGAAAGACTTATACACTGAGCACTACAAAACATTCCTGAAATTAAAAATAATCTAAAGGGAAAAGCATCCCATATTCATGAATTAGAAGATTTAATTTTGTTGAGATGGAAAACTACCCAAAGCAAACTACAGATTCAATGCAATCCCTACTAAAATTCCAATTTCCAATGGACTTTTTTGCAGAA